ACGGGGTTTGTTCTCAGAGGGAAAGTTGGTTTGGACTTCGCCGAGGGATTCGGTCGCTAGGGTCGAAAGGGGTCAAGGCGCTGTCGTGTAAACCTGCCGTGCGTAATCTGCATGCAGGTGAATATGTTTTCTTCCGGTACGGAAGTGTGCCGGCCCGCCCCTCGCCGCCCTCCATTTCCTGACTGTCAACTGAACTCTTATACTTCTTCCCTATCAATCATATCCTCGTTATACACCACCATTGTCTTAATCTGGCACGAACCTAACACTTGCCCCCTTTCCCACCCCAAAGCATGAATTTGCCATTCCATGTCCCCTCAAGGGTGAGCTGCTACTACCTCATCATCTATTCCTCACAGTTCCTTATTTCTCTCGTACATGAAACTTGCGAAATACCAAGACATCAAAACCGTTTCCTGTTCAGTCTCGTTGGGAAAGAGTTCACTGCATTGTGACTATCGAGCTGCAAGCTAACATCTACCACGCCATCTCATCCAGTCGAGAGAAGACTCCGCGGAATTCAATCGAGAGCCACTCGGGATTACTCACGACCACTCAAGAGAGCACGAAAGCAGCATCAACACTCCCAAGATTCCCGAACATTCTGGCAGGCCAATGTATATCCATGCTTTTCATTTCAATGCACATTTCCAAGCCCATTAAATGGTTGACCTGGATTGTGAGAGACGTTCTACTCCGAGATACTGGGGAGCCTGTTGCGTATGGGTTGTAGTTGAACCCATCCGGAGCGCTAAGCGGAGTACACAAGATGTGTCCTTCGTAGCTATTGACAGTGTTGCTTATACAACTATTCATTTTGACCGCGGAGTGATGTCGAGGGTATTCAAATTCAGAGGGACGCCCTGAATCAAAGTACGACTCCCTACATGCCCCCTGGAATTCTCGCATTGGATTAGCGGATCTTTATTGCTTAAAGGCTATGTGGAAACTTGGCCGGCCTTTCGGTAGTTATTTTTGTCAGATATCTTGTGGGTCCACGCCGTTTCCTACGTCATTCACATGATCTAGGTCGGGTCTGCTGTAAAATATCACGAAGCTACAGGTCCCGCAACACATGATCTTCCGGTAATCATTTAAGCTCCTCATAAGGGCCTCTTGCGCCGGTGCCGTTCTAAGGGGCGACCTCGATGGCTTATAGCCTTGAATCCATGTCTAGTTCACACTCGATACTGCTTCTGTGCGGATGTACGGCGCCTGGCACACGAGAACAGGTGGTGCTGGTTTTAGAGTTATCGCCGCCTTCGTCATCAAGCAAACCTGCAGTCATTCTATGAGCGATTGCAAGTCCTGTTCGTTCGTCAGTAACCTCTACACAATGAAGACTTTCTTTTCGCACCTCCAAGCTATCTACCGTATTGGCCTCAATAGCCGTCGTTGCATAAGGGGTAGAAAGCTTCGCAAGCCAAAGCTTGCGCCTTTGCCGAGCCTTGACTGACTGGACGAACAATTAGCGAAGGAACATATAGGCCGCTATTATCGAAATACCCCTTCGATTGAGTCTTTCACGACATAGCGCAGGACGACCACATCTTTATCTTGATCAAGTCTATCGACACGTGCAGCAGCCTGAGCCTCGACCATAGGGTTCCATTGAGGTTCCACAAGGTGCACATGCGTTGCAGCCGTCAAGTTCAGGCTATGATGCATTGTTAGCTTCAAACTTGGCGCACTGTTCGGTTTTCAAGAAGCCACTAACCCCACGGAGCCGCTTCCAAACGAAAGTAGCATGATCCTCAGATCCGACTCTGACTGGAATCTTTCTATGGCTCTTCTTCTCTGGTCAAGACCCAAGCTGCCATCGATACGTGCGGATGCCATGTTGCGACTTGATAAGGCGCATGCCAGAGAATCCAAAGTCCTGGTCCAGAACGAGAAAACGAGACTGAGCATAGATAAGCAAAACACTGGATCCGAATCGATACCATTATCTTACCTTTTGATGGGTTTTGCATCAGGGTGTCGCCTTTGCTCAAGCTGGACAAGATTGTTGACCACGCTGTCAATCTTCGAGGACCATCCCGGTCTTGATACTGTGGATGCATTGAGATCTATGTCGCCGCCATCATCATCACCAGGAACATTAGCGACGCCAACGCCCGTCCAGGATTTGGGGGTACTTGTATCCCAGCAAACACGGCTTTGTAACGAAAATGAGCCAGTGTTTAGGCATAGAGTGCTGCTTTCCTCCGCAGCACATTCTGGGCAGTATCTTGATTCGCCGCTCTCAGCTAAGCTTGAGTTGTGTATCAGATCACCGGGCAAAAGCTCTAAGCATTTGTTGCAGACGGTGTTGCTGGACACAGGTACTCGTGCATCTGCAGGTTCTGGCCTGGAGCCTCGCTCATGTAGTCCATGGCTGCAAACTTGCCTCATTTGAAGTATGCAGGATAACAAGTTGTGGGCGGGCGTTGTCTTCTCAACGCTGGCAACGATGTTTCGTGCCCTGGTGCGGATTGAGTCATACTGCTGCCGTTCGGTGTGAGAAAGAGTAACAGCCACTTCAACGTCGGATCGGACATGTTTCATCTCAGAATTCCTAGATCTTCTCAGAGCCACTGTCCCCACGAGGAGCCGAAGGTTTTCTATTGCGTAGTCTTCCTTGGTTTCTAAGGGATCCAAGACCCAGCGACGTGCGTTCTGGCGATTCTCGACCGGATGAAATCGTAAGAACTCAGTAAGCGTGAAAAGATCGTTAAGATCATTATGGACAGGTGTCCCCGTAAGACACCATCTTCGTTCTGTCTGAAGATTTATGATGGCCTGAAATGCATTTGTGCGGTTTCGTATATGGTGAGCTTTTATAGGAAGAAGTGATCAGTATTATATTGAGGAGAGTAATAAAAATCTCATATTGTACCTTCATCTAGGACGATACGAAACCAGAATGTAGCTTGCAGATTCCTCGATCTATTTGCGTCAGACAAGACTGTTTCGTAGCTCGTGAGAACCACATCGTAGTTCGCGAGGCTTCCATGATCAATGGTGGTTCGTTGCCCATGATATACATAAACTTCGAGATGGGAAGAAGTATGTCTGAAGGCGTTAGCTCGACACTTAGCTCTGGCGGTGATCACCTAAACCTTTCGATCTCCAGCTCCCAGCTATATAAAGCTAGAGGATCACGTTAGCACATGGCAGGACAAGGTAGAGTGGAAGGGCTGCAGGGTCCAGTACTTGACTTTGGTGCAATGATAAGTGTTGGCGCTGGGGCCGCTTCGCCTCTCTCCACTTGAACAGAGCCTTGTTTCCGGCCTGGTCCAGAAGAGCGCGCAACGTCTAGAGTATGCATCATAAGTGCAATGAGTGTGAGTGATTTACCCTGGGCACCGGGAGTCAGTATTTGAAAGACCTTGGGGTAGTACATTGGCCATTGGAAGGAGGTTCAGACCATTCCCATTTCATCTGCAAGGATACCGCCACGACATTCCCCTGGCTTTATGGATCGCTTCTCCTGTGTGATTGTATGGACGAACCTGTCGTTTTTAAGCTGAAAGAAATCTGAACGTGCACTTCTAGTGTCCCCACCCATTTTTGTTGTTAACATTGTATGGCTTCCACAGTGACAAGGTATTCTGGTGTTCATCTTCTCGAGTGAGCATGAATTCTAGGGCACTCAGTTGATGGCTTTTCGAGCTTCGAGTTAGCCGTTGCTTTTAGTGTGGGGCGTTGTTTATATAGATCATACTTCCGAAGAATCGTAAAGATCCGGGCGTCTTGTTTCACATGAGAGGCCTGCAGCGCGGGGTTGAAAGACTCCATTATTGCTTCGATTTTGGCTGTAAAGTCGGCCTTAGGAACGTTCCGTGCCCTATTGAGCAAAGGTGTCTCTGGATTGTTATCCCAGGAGAGGAAATGAGGGTTTCGGTATCCTGTCCCATGATCAAGAAAGCCTGGCTCTTGTAGATACATGCCAGCGTTCGACAACGCCGAACCGACATTGTTGTAGTATTCATCAGGCCCATAGATCTGGATCTGAAGAGGACGAATGGATGCTGCCTTCTTTCCCTGCCGACCGGAGCTATCTTGGTCTTCCTCGCGATCCAAAAAAAGCTCAAATGTGATAGCCGGCGCAATATCTTTCAGTGAATTCAGTGCCGCAGCCGTCTTGTTGTCGAGTACTCCAATCTCTTCCAAGGGATGTAGTATTACTGTAGTCGAGTTGTGTCTGAATCGCAGTCTGAGCGCGACGTGATTCTCCAGTGCTGAGCTCAGAATGTCATGACTTTGCCCACTTCTTTGCAACGATTTCATCCTGCCGTCGAGGAGCTGGGTTATCTAGTCAGTCACAGTTTGAAACTGAAGCGCTTATTGGACCTCACCATACCAAAACATATCCCTCTCCTACTGGGCCATTGTTCTCCAACATTTCCTGACACACTGCCTGACTGGCCAAATGCTGGGCTTGTAGTTTTCCGTGGAGATGAAGATGCACTCAGTGCGCTGCACACCTCGCTTAAGGCTGTTGAGGTGGATTCTACTGTAACGCTGGTTATGTCCTGATCCGAGTCGTCGTCGTCGCTTGCGTCATTGAGGATTGAGTGAACGCTGAGACGCGAAACGGCTCTCCTTTTAGCACGAGCAACTCCGGATGGGTTGGTCACAGTGGGGATATTGTCCCAAGGCCTCTTGTGGTGCGACATTTTTAGCATTTGGGTACCCTTAGGACGTTTGATGGAGATGATGTCCTCTTGGAGAGAGCAGGTATACCTTCCAAAAGCACATTCAGAGCCTCGAGACCGTTTCCGCCGAGGCACTTCATCAGGCTGATCTGACTCTATTCCATTGGTTGGCCATCATGCAGCTTCGGAAGAGCCGAGGGAAGGCTGAGGACTGCGCCTACCATTTCGTAGGATCAGGCTGCGAGGCTGTCAGGGGTGTCCCCTCTGATGCCTTCGCAAAGAGCAACATTGCTACCGTACAGTTATAAGACGGTCGTCTTGTCCATCGAAGACATAGCTATCATCATCGTTGTTGACACGATGCCTCTGTCTCCGACTCCGCCTGCTTTCTCTCGTAGCTTGGAAGCCTTCAAGTGCCAGCTCTCTTTACGAGACATCGAGGCCTTTGGATTAACCAATTTCCAGGAACTCAGGAATGCCATTGATAGTATCCAAAATGAACAAGCACATCGACGCGGTTATCGCAATCTGAATAAGATCAGGCCGTTTTTGGAGTTCTTACAGCAGTATGCGCGAGTCATTGAACAATTTGTTAGCGCGAAACCCGACTTTCTAGCTTTCATCTGGGTCAGTAAGATAGGTATCTTATACCTTATACCTCAAATAAATCCACTCTGCTGGAAGCATCCGCTAATCCCATAAAGGGCCCCGTAAAATTGTGCCTTCAGGTAATAATTTGCAATAGCAACATCCTCTTACCTCAACTCGCCTGGGCTTTCTACGACTAATACGCATTATCCAGGTCGCTTCACGACTGTCGGATGCATTCGACGCCCTACTCGAAGCCTATGCGAGAATCGGTGAATCCTTGCCAGTCTTCGCAGCTGTTGACACTCTATTCTCTGCTCGTGGAGAACACTACGTACAGCAGATTCTGGCCAATGTCTACGAGGACATCTTGAAGTTTCATAGTAGGGCTGTTATTTTCTTCAAGCAGAGAAGTAAGGCTCAGGTATCTATCTCAGATACATACTTATAACTATATAGCATGGACAATAGCATTCAAGACAGCCTTTCGATCGTTTAGCGATTTGTATGGAGATGTGGTCAAGAATCTTCAAGGGTCCAAGGAGCTTCTTATTCAGACAGCAAGTGTTTGGCATTTTCGAGAAGCCCAGGATGCCAGACTGCGCATTTCGCAAGAATTTGAGGCCCAGAATTACAGGGACGATCAACATCGGAAATCATTCGTAGTAGATTGGCTTTCACACGTTTCCTGCCAGAACCGACACGAAGAGCTTCGGCAAGAACAACGCTTATACTCAGCATCTACCCGCTGGGTATTCGATACAACGCAGCTATCTGAGTGGTCCTGGGGGAGTGAGACGAGCAGTCCTGTCCTTTGGATTTCTGGTATTCCTGGAGCAGGTAGGGTCCATAGCGTCAGTGCCTTAATTGAAAGCCTCGACTGCTAATGGCGTACATCAGGTAAAACATTCATATTCAGTTCTATTGTCGAAGACATCAATGAAAGGCTTTCAGAGTCCGAAGTCATCTACTTCTATTGTAGATACGATGATCCTCTCAAGACATCTTTCAACGGTATTGTCCGCTGTCTGATTGCACAATTACTGGCTCTGAACCCAACCTGCTCGCAATACCTATACGATGAGATTATCGGTAGAGTCAATCGTCATCCAGATTCTGCAAACGATTTATGCACGGAGATGCTCCAAAAAATTGCTCTGCACCACGAGCAGTTGTTCATTGGGATTGATGGCTTAGATGAATGTCAAGAGCCGGAGAGACGGCAAACCTTGCTGATGATCCACAATCTTCTCAAAGCCTCAAAAACTAAAAGGAACATACGCGTATTTTTGACCAGTCGCAAGGAGCAGGATATTGGCATTTCGCTACGCTCTGCAAGCCGACTCGATATCAGACCCTATCATCTGGACAAGGACATCAAGGACTATGTCCGAGTGCGGGCACTAGACTTGAGCAAGAAGTTTTCAATTGCCCTGGAGCGTCAGAGAACCATTATAGCGGACATAGCAAGACGATCGCAGGGTTTGTGGGCCATAACCCTACATATCTTCAACAGCTGATTCAAGACCACTCAGGTATGTTTCTTCTAGCTCGGCTAATCATGGACAATCTCATCGATCAGGATTGCCGCCAAGATCTAGAGGAGGAGTTGAGTGACGAGGTTTTACCTAATGGAATAGGGCAGGCGTGAGCGTAATGACTCAGATAATGAAATGCATTGCGCTAAAACTTCTAGGTATACACGCATCTTGGATCGAATGCAGAAAAGGAACCAACCAACAAGGAGATGGCAACGTGCTAAGTTTGGCTTAGATGTACTCGTCATGGCCACGCGACCGTTAACAATCCACGAAGTACAAGGTGCTTTCTCAATTTGCCTAGAGAATGGAAGCATCGATTTCGAAAATCGGAGATCAGTAGCACCCCTAGATGAGCTTCTAGGGCCTATCGTCGAAGTCCATCTAGATGGTTCGATTAACTTTATCCACCCAACGGCCAGGGAGTAAGCATTACTTTCTCTTAACCTTGAGCAGTAAAATAACTCTGTCTAGTTACTTGCTTCAGCACCATAGCGGTTACTTCGTCAATCCTAGCGCTGCTAATTTGAGGTTGGCACTGCTGTGTGCTTCGTATCTTACACTTCCGTGCTTCAGTCCGTGTCTGGACCTCACCGACGTTGAAGTCTCAGTCTACAAAGGAGACTACGCTTTTCAGGAGTACGCAGCCTTGAATTGGATTCACCATATCAAATGTTTGACCGACCATGGCGAACTAGCGACCAATGTTGATATGTCAAGCCTAAAGACAGCAGTCGTCATTTTGTTTCAGCGACATTTCGCACAATTTGCCACAGATAATTCAGATTCAAGCACCCAGGATCTCGAGTTCAACATGCACAGTATCTCAGCAGCATTGGACAACTGTCAAAAGTCATACGACATGGTAGACAACATCTGTGTTAACGAAACCGATTCAGGTAAAGTAATGGCACTGAGTGCGCTGGAATGCGGCTAATCAGTGGTCTTGCCTCTTGTAGCATTGACCCCATATATCTTACGCGGAGTCTTCGAGGTTAGAGGCATCTTGGAAAAGTTACCGCCGCAGGTGTTTAAAGATTCGCCCTTACTAGCCGAAGCGTACGGCAGATCTCTCTACAAATGTCCCATAAAAAAATGCTCTCGATTTCAGCGAGGCTTCGCCAGTCGCAATCTACGAGACGAACATCTGCAATCTCACGAACGAGCACACAAATGCACCGTTGAAGGCTGTGAATATTTGGTGATCGGTTTCCCAACACGTGCTGATCTCACCAGGCATAAGCAGCTTTGCCATTGCGAGCTGAATGAAGAGTTTATGTTTCCAAGCGTGAAGCGAGCTTCGTTAAGCCAGGCTCTTGAAAATGCCATTGATCGAGACGATGCATCAGCTGTCCGGGACCTCTGTGCTGAGATGTCGGTGTATCCGACTAATGAGACTGGGTTCCTCTTCAGAGCGGTTAAGCAGAAAAGCTTTGGTGCGGCCTTGGTATTGTTGGAGCTTTTGGGATCGGACCAAATACACCATAAGGCGAAAAATGAGCGGACAGTACTGCACGAGGCAGTGGAGACCACCCATGTGGACTTACTAAAGAAGATTCTCAGCACAGATGTCGACGTCGACGCAGAGGATTCTCGGGGGCGAACTCCGCTCCTGATAGCCCTAGAACATGGACATTTTGACGCTGTGAGATTACTGTGGAGCCCTTCTGATAAGAAGTGGACAGTTAAGTGGAAAGAGGCCGCATGGAGGAAGGGATTCGTAGAGGCCTCTTCTGGTGGGCACGACGATATCGTGCCAGGGATCTTGAGCACCCTTGTGGGGCACTTGGCAGACGGTGGCCCCAACCTCTCGGCGACGATATCTCGAGCGTTGAGCAGAGCTGCTTCAAACAATCATGAAACAACTGTCAAGAAAATCCTGCACATGGGACGCGCGATGGATCTCGAAAAGAATTACTCAAAACGCCTCAAGGAAGCATCACGCAATGGTATGGAGGGGATCAAGCAGCTTGAACAACCGGAGGTGGATGGAAAAGGGAAGACCAAGGGGAATGCCCTTGCAGATGCTGCTCGAAAGAATGACAGTGCAACGGTATTGCGACTTCTAGAAAAAGGTGCGGACATAAATTACAGCTCCGGAATAGTATACAATGCTTTAGGCGCTGCTGCTAGATATGGAGAACTGTCAATGATACACCTCTTACTGGACAATGGTGCCGATGTCAATGCTCCAGGTGGTTATTACGGCGATGCACTGCAGATAGCATTATCAGCAGGTCATGATCAAGTTGTGCAAGTATTACTAGACAGAGGGGCTGATATCAAGTTTGATGGTAAAAATAACAACGCGCTAGGCATAGCGTCATCAAAAGGTTATGATCAAGTGGTACAGATACTGCTAGATAAGGGTGCGGATGTCAACGCTTATGATGGCAACGCGCTGCAGGTAGCATCATTAGGAGGTCATGATCAAGTGGTACAGATACTGCTAGACAAGGGTGCGAATATCAACGCTCAAGGTGGAACATATGGCAATGCGTTATATGCGGCATTATTAGGAGGTTACGATCAAGTGGTACAGATACTGCTAGACAAGGGTGCGGATGTCAACGCTCAAGATGAAACATATGGCAATGCGTTACACGAGGCATCATCCGGAGGTCGTAGTACATTGGTACAAATACTGCTGGATAAGGGTGCGGACGTCAACGCTGAAGGTGGATGTCATGGTAACGCACTGCAGGCAGCATTATCAGGACGTCATGATCGAATCGTGCAGATGTTGCTGGACAGAGGAGCCATTAGTTTTGACACTTAAGTTAGAGGCCACGGCAGTATTCTGTCTACACCGTCAGAAAGGGTCTATGATCAAGTGATGCACGTTGATGGATCTGGCCAGGACTAGAATTTGCTAGCTTAATGAAGAAAATCCTTACCACGAGCCCGTTTAAGATTCTACCAAGCATTCCTATATCGCAGCAAAACATACAAGTAATGAGAGTTCAGGTCCAGCCCGGCAACACGATGCTAGCAGCTCGTTTGCCACCACACCCGGCGATCCAACGGATTATCGGCTTCAACCATTGCAGCCTCTGCTTATCCACATAGCCAGGTCCGACATTTGAGCGCCCGGACCGGAGTCCGCCAATTCGGCAATCAGAGACGCACCCGTTATGCGTTTGCTGCTTCCCGGCCCACGGCGTCTCTGCAACTCGCGCGAGAGGGAAGGTAGCAAACTTTTGTTGTTGTAAGTGAGTGCGGTTGTAACTTTGCCGACTTCTCGATGGCTTGTGGAGTCTCGGTGCTACTTGATACGCTTTGTGAGGGCATGGTTGTATGGTTTTGGCGATGTAATTTTTTTTCTTTCTTAGAGTACGTAATAGAAAGTTATATATAAAAGAAACTACTTATTTTCTATTTCGGTTAATTTTAATGAGGATCCCACATAAAATAACGGTCAATGTAGCGGTTTCCTATTAGCGTGTGCAGAAAACGTTGGAATACTTGGCACTGAGATTCTCACACACACCCCACCAAAAGTAGTACTGAATAGATGAATCTTCTCCCATATCGCATTCTACCACCTTCCTCATCATATTTGAAGCTCCTGTATATCTCGCTTAGCCGATCCTTGGTGTTTTGCCTTAGTGTTTCGAAATGCCTCCCCCCCCCCACTACCGACCTCCCCTCCGGCTAGACAGTCCAAGAGGCCTAAGAAGGCGTCCTCCCGTGCCTAAGCGATTGCTGAGGATAGCCAGCCGGGCCCTAGTAACAGTCAGCCAAGCGCAGCTACCCCCGCTCCCAGACCTGAAGGCCTTTATACCAAAGCCGCCTGTGAACGTGCGGCTCTGGAAGACAATTGGCTAAGCGAGATATACAGGAGCTTCAAATATGATGAGGAAGGTGGTAGAATGCGATATGGGAGAAGATTCAGCTATTCAGTACTACTTTTGGTCGGGTGTGTGTGAGAATCTCAGTGCCAAGTATTCCAACGTTTTCTGCACACGCTAATACTCCGGAAAAAAAGGTTTTTCCGAACCACCACTACCACCAACCCTTCCGAAGAGAGTCTGAGTACTGAGACTAACCGGGAGCATCCCGTAGAGTATAAGGTAGGTGCGCAACAATCCTCACCGCTGCGTCCGCCGCGCTTTCCATATGTCGTCTCTAGAAACAGCATGAAACGCCCTTTATGATGGAAACTAACGCGTCGACCACCCAAACCGGCGTCCGCAATTCAGGATACATCTCCTTGGATCGCGCGCTTCCTGTCAGTGCAGCCTGTCAAGCCTGTAGATCGAAACACCAAAGATGTGATGGACTGCTGCCGATCTGCCTCCGTTGCAAAAAGGGGAACAGGTCATGCAGCTATGCACCCTCTCGTCGTGGCCGATCAGTCGCGCATTTGCATAGTGGAAAAGCGAATGTCTCTGAGGTCAGTACACCGGCGTCAGGCAACATGGTAGAGGGTCTTAACGTGCGCTTAAGTCGTCAGTGCTGTTCCCTTACCACCCATGCGGTCGTCACTGAGCTCGTACTAATATCCTTGAGCAGCTTTGCGATCGCCGGCGCCTGAATATATGGGCGACGGCGCTGGGATACAGCCGAAGTTTGCAACCGATTTCGCTCCTGCAATGGATTTAGGAGCAGATGTTGAGATGCCCAATCCCCGTTTCGAGGATCTGGCCGTCATATCCTTCCAGCCACAAGTCTACAAGAGTTCCAGCCTTGAAGAGCGGCCATCTATCGACACCGTTTACACCTCAAATTTTTTTTCTTCCTTCTGGCCTTCCCATCCCTTCTTACCCTCCAGTAGACACATCGAAGATTATCTGAGGGGTAGCGAAGGAACGAGCCTGATCCATGCCATCAATTACATTGGGTCCCTCTATGCTTGCGCAGGGAACAGTCAACTACAAACCATGACTTTCCCGCAAAAACTGCATGAATATCCGCAGAATATTTTCGCTGTGCAGTCGCTCATTCTTCTAGCAATATCATCGCACATGTTCGACAATCCTACACAAGCCCAAGCGTTCCTGCATACAGCCATTGAAATAGCACTTGCTATCCGATTACATAGACAAGACTTCGATACTCGCCTTGGAAAAGGAAGTTGTGCAATGGCAGAAAGTTGGCGTCGTACGTGGTGGGAGCTTTATATCCTCGATATAATGTTTGCGGGCTTGAACCAGACGAGCAATATGTGGCTGAAGGATGTAGAATCAGATGTGCTGCTACCGTGCGAGGAAGCAATATATCACAACAGTAATGCATGTACATCTGATGTTCCCCTTGTGTCTCCCTGCTGACCTTGGGTTTTTAGGCCCACCCTGGGGCCAGAAGTTTGGCGGAGTTTAATTGTCGCTTTTTCGCTGAAGAGGAGATTGAATACTCATCATTTTCCTACCGCATTGCTGCTGCTCGAGCCCTGAGTGGTATCATATCTGTCTCCATTGCCCCATCGTTGCAGGCACCACCGTCGTACACAGAAGCGGAGCTGGTACTGGAGAATCTAGTCCTGCATCTTCCGAAGCATATGCAAAGCTTCGTGAATATAGATGGGTCGATCAACGAAATCCTCTTTCAGACTCATATGATGATCCACGCGTAGGCGTTCCATCCCATGGTTCCTCATTCAAAGCTAATAGCTTTGCAGCAGCAACATATACCTGCACAGACCGCGATCGATTCTAGCCGCCTCCGGGCTCATCCATCAAATTACTTGCGCCCCAAATGCTGCAACCTGGCACTCAGAGTCCATTCTGCACCACACGAAGAAAACCGTGGATGCAGCCGATGGGATCTGCCAAATGATCAGCGCACCGCCTTCATTGTTTTCGCGAACGCCTTTCTTTGTCTGCGCTGTGGCTTTGCAGGCTATCGTTCATCTAAGCGCTTATGGCATAGCAGGGTGGAGTCAAAAACGGCCGCTCATGCAGCAGCAAATCCAGATGAGCATAGGAGCGCTCAAAAAGCTGAGCGAAATATGGGAAGTGGCCAGCATCGTCTTGAGCCAAATAAAGTGTGTGGCAAGAGCGGTCCTTGATCCTCCACGGAACGTGAGGTCCCCGGATGACAGACGAGACACTACTTCGGCTCACCATAGCTTGAAAGAAGCCGGCATTGCAGAAACGCTTCCAGCCAACTTCGAGGATCTCGTGCAAGGGAACGATGAATCTTGGTTTAATGATTTCCTGGCCCAGAATTAGTTGCATGGACTCTTGCGATTCTCCCTGCCTATGATGTTGATAAGGTCTTCCTGATTCGATACGGCAAAAGCGAAGCTGGTGGCGCTGAATAGGACCGATCCACACTCGCTTGAGGCGAATTCTAGCCATTTAATACTGTATTTTGGGCGGGCTTACAATAACAGCAACGGGATAGGTTCCTGGTCTAAACCTATTCCGGTAGTCGGCGAGTCGGAGATTGTCGGGCACAGCGACCTACTTTACCTTAGGCGAACCTCCCGTCTATTTCAGCCGCTTTGCTGACATGTGGAAGCCTTACCTTTCCAGGCAATCGCCAACTCTTCAATTCTGTTGTCTGTTGCCGTTTCCGTGGTGCATTGTTGCTTCCTCTCCTTCCACGCCTCCGCTCACCGGGACTCCCAAGTGACACATTTGCGCTAGAACGTCTCCGATATTCTGTCACCTCATGTGCTCATAAATGCGAGAACTTCCGCCACATTCTGCAAGGTCTGCTGATACTCCCAGCACTTATCCAACAGCCATGTCCGAGTCCGAAAGTTCTACCCACGACCTGGAGCGTGGTGCGGCTTCAGAATCCCTCTACAACTCGACCATCAAGAATCTCTCTTGGCACGATATCTCCGTCACGGTCAGTGACAGAAAGACAAAAGCACCTAAACAGCTGCTGGACAATGTGAATGGTGAGGTTAAAGCTGGTAAGAAATGACCTCAAACATTCCATTGCATGCGTGCACACCTCGACTAATGAAATGAAGGAGAGATCCTTGCTCTCATGGGACCCTCGGGCTCCGGCAAGACGACTCTCCTCAACACCCTAGCGCGCAGGAGCACCAGCTCAGGAAGCACTACCGGAACCGTTCTCACTAACGGGACGCATCTACCCCAGTCCGCCTTTCGCGAAATAAGCTCTTACGTCGAGCAAGAAGACGCTTTAATTGGCTCCCTTACCGTCCGCGAAACTGTCGATTTCTCCGCCCGCCTCTCCCTTGCTGGCGTAGTCACTACACGCGAACGCCTAGCCCGCGTCGATGATCTTCTCATAGCGTTCGGCCTGACTGATCAAGCTCACACCTTGATCGGTACTCCGCTGCGCAAGGGAATCAGTGGAGGACAAAAGCGCCGAGCCAGCGTTGCCGCACAAATCATCACAGAGCCAAAGATTATGTTCCTCGACGAGCCAACTAGTGGACTCGACTCCTCTGCCAGCTACGAGATCATATCCCACCTGCGCAGTGTAGGCCGACGGTATAATCTCTTGATCGTAGCGAGCATTCATCAACCGTCCACCTCAACATTCAGGCTTTTCGATAAGTTGCTGCTGCTTTCGCAGGGGAAAACGTGTTATCTTGGACCGTTGTCAGACGTTACTTCTTACTTTGAGTCCGCCGGATTCCCGGTACCTCCACAAACCAACCCGGCCGAACACCTTCTGGACATTACGAACAGTGACTTTGCCCTTAATCGAGAACAGGCGCAGAGGGATTTGGATAGTATACACGCAACCTGGAAACAGCAGCAACACACCGTTTCTTTCACGTCGAAGGAGGGGATAGATCAACCCGCTATAGCGATACTCGAAAATCACTCCCGTCGTCCAGACATCTTCACTATAATCTCAGCCCTCCTCTTGAGAATGTTTATCAAGAGCTACCGCGACGTCGTAGTCTATGGCATCCGCATCGCCATGTACATGGGCCTCGCTATCATGATGGGCACAGTTTGGCTCCGACTTCCTACCACGCAGGACTCCATCCAACCCTTCATCAACGCCATCTTCTTTGGTTCGGCCTTCATGTCCTTTATGGCTGTAGCCTACGTCCCCGCTTTCCTCGAAGATCGCGCTACTTTCGTCAAAGACCGTGCCAACGGCCTCTATGGCGCCTTACCCTTCCTAATAGCAAATTTTATCATCGGACTTCCTTACCTCTTCCTCATAGCCGTCATCTTCTCCGTAATCGCGTACTGGCTTACCAATTTCCGCCCCAGCGGTGAGGCCTTCATGTTGTGGATCATGTGGCTCTTTTTGGACCTGTTAGCAGCCGAATCCCTTGTCGTGCTGGTATCTTCACTCTTCCCTGTTTTCGTAGTGGCGCTCGCCATCGTAGCTTTTGCGAACGGTCTCTGGATGAGTGTGGGCGGCTTCTTGGTGAGCCCGACTATTCTGAATGTCTTTTGGAAGTATGTGTTCCACTATATCGATTATCAGGTAAGCCCACCTCCATTCGCCCAACGTTCTTGTAACTATTGGCCCGCTTGCTAACCATAGTCACTGGCTACTAGACCTACGTCTTTCAAGGCATGATGGTTAACGAATTCTCTCAGCGCACCTATACGTGCGGCTCCGGCTGTCAATGCATGTACAACACTCATCTTGCGCCGCAGTGCCAGATTGCGGGAGCTGGGGTGTTGGAGACTTACGGCTACGCGACGGGCAGGACAGGAAAGTGGGTTGGTATTTTAATCGGGATCATTGTTGGATACAGAGTGCTAGGGTTATTGGCGTTGCATTTCCGGCAATGAGAACTACGTAGGTGGTTCAGCGACGGCACCAACGGTGATACGCAGAAGGGACTTGGTGGAAACAGAATTTTAAGAGGAACTTGAGGGGACATTCTCGATGTATGGCAGCCTGGAACATTAAAGTACTTGAATTAGACGCCTAGCTACGGTATGAAGCCCAAAATAGGTAGACATCGTTCATAAGCAGGGCCGCTTTAGTAAACGATATAATTGAAAGAAGTTCTTACTCCACTAAATAGGGATGTCTAAGGTTCTCACCCACAGATGCACCTTGTAGTCTTAGTGTCTTTCACACACACTACATATCTGACAGATTGATCTAGAATCACCTGCTCTTCGTCACACCGCCTCGGCCGAAACGGTGAACAAGCGACCTATAGCCAAACGCTCACCTATCTACAGTACTCACGAACATTTGTTCGTAGCAAGGAGCTGCAGCAGATACTCGTATCTACCCGGATACTTCAAACTATGCACTCTCTATAATAATCAGAAATCACACTCTATACTCCATGATTTTCTTTTTCTATCTATCTAATTCATTTTTGCGGATAGGCGAAGTATAAACATCCGGGTAGAGTATACTCCGGGTAGATACGAGTGGCTTCCACAGTGCACCAAACGAGGCCTAGAATCGGCCAAAGACGAAATGGCGCTCAACTGGAATCTATTGCATTGGCGAACATGCAGCTCGTCCGTGAAGCGGTTCGATGGCCTCGTCTGGCGATGCTACCTCGTGATAGGATACCGTTGGTTGAATAATGGGGAAAATCGGACACACGGCATCATGTTGGGTTCAGGTAAGGCAATGGGCGCCGCGTCTAGACCACACCTGCCGCCGCTCCCCCAGCCTTGACGGTGGAGGGGCCGGTGATCCCATCGGGGATCAGGCTGGGTCCCAGTGCCTTTTATTCGGCTGACCGCTGTGCGATCATACTTTGTGTTGTCAAGTGTATGGCGTGAAAATCCATTTCTCCCATCAAACAACATTCAAGACTCAAACTTCACGCGCGTGCCAGGCTGTTCCTTGTGATATTTCGAATACGATCATTCAATTGTGTGACTGTGAAAGCCAGCATGTGGCTAACGTACTGGAAAGATAAGCGAGAGGCCAGGGAGAAGGACAACGGTAAAGATGGCTGTCCTTACCCCAAATCTATTGAGTGCATCAGGAAAGAGGATTACCCTCTTCTCAAAGGTATGCCACCAACCGTGCCGTCTGTCTGGGAAACGCTCTAATGCTGTGTCGGTCCCAGAAACCACATATCTCGACCATGCGGGAACAACGCCCTATCCAAGGTCTCTTATGAAGGAATTCGAGAGGGATATGAACTCTCAACTCTTCGGCAATCCTCACTCAAATTCCCCTTCATCAATGCTCTCGACAGACAGCGTGGAATCAGCGAGACTTCGGGCACTCAATTTCTTTAAGGCGGACCCAGAACACTTCGACTTGATCTTCGTTGCAAATGCAACGGCAGCTATCAACTCTATCTTATTCTTTTATATAAATCAGTATATATCAAAGAATGATATAGGGCTGAGCTAAAAAACCTTGAATTTGTATATGCAGCTAATTATAAATTCGTTAGATCTACGCTCTTTGGTTAGATTGGCTAAGTCATCGCGGGTAAATAAATTAACGTCCGCAATCATCAAAAAATCTCTCACTCTACTTTTAACCCCTTAATAACTTTACTATTTTCTATTAAAATTTTAGATTTTTTTTTTAAATTATAGCTCGTAACTTGCGCTTTTTAATAACGTAAAAAATTTAAAATTTAGTCTTATAATAATTTAAAGATAAGGATCTTAAATATCGCTTATTAAAGTTTACTCGATAGCTCTAATTAAAAATAGATGCACATTATTTAATTTTAGAATAACTTTTTTATTTTCTATCAAAATTTTAAGATTTTTCTTTTAAATTATAGAACGTAACATAGGCTTTTAGATAAAAAAAAGAGTTATTAAATTTAATTCTATAAATATTTAAATATAAAGAATTCAAATATCGCTTATTAAAGTTCGCTCGACAGTTCTAATTAAAAGAAATAATTATGAATTTAATTCATAGGCCTTTACTCGTTAATAATAATAAAAAAATAATAGATCGATAAGATTTAAAAAATAATAGTTTAAATTCTTCGATATAGAAGTCTTTAGTAGTAATGAATAATTAGTATTACTATACTAGTTTGCCATATAAATTTGATGAAAGGTAGATACTTTGGTGTTGCGTCGGATTTATCGGATTGAAGATGGTGCAAATGGGGGTATGGCGCAAATGGGATCGCCCTCGTATTCAGCCTGCCATCCTTAGACGGCCACAGAAGGAGCTTTAGTCCCATGGGCGCTTTCCCCCTTCATACCATAGTTCACCATGGGAGAACTCCTCCACTCCAGATCATTGCGAACCGAAGGGACGGCCGCCCAATTTTTGCGCACCAGGTCCAAATATTTATCGTAGGACTCTCCTTCCACATTTTCGTATCCAGATCTGCGGTTGGGAGGCGCAAAAGAGTGATCATGGGCCAGCTCGACACTTTGGTTTCTCTTGCTACTGCCCCGGACCTTTCGATCGAAAAGGGGGCGGAACGTGGGGAGACAGGCACAGACGATCGCTACGTCCACTTCTACAACCGACCAGACGCAGGGCTCGACATCAGACCCTGGTACTATTTCAGCAACATCGCTGAAGCCGTTTGTGATAGGGAGATGGTGACGTACAACTCACGTCCGACAGTGAAATCGAGTACATCTTCGGGACACGGTAGATACTCACCACGCACACACTAGCCAAAGTCCCATCAGCACCCTTCAACCGTCGAGCAATTGGGTCTGATGCCGACTCACAAGCCACCGAGCATGAACATGCCAATCAGCTGCGCCCTCCTCTCCCTCGAAACCTGCAGTCTCCACAACATCGGCATCGGTATGCACAACGTCACGATATCAGTGACGGCGTTGAAAGAGCCGATAATGATATACGTCGTGTTTACGCGGATGCAAGTCGGATTCGGAACGGTGGGATCCCACGCAGCTCGAATGGGTCGACATTGGATTAGCAGCACGAAGAATTGGGCCGTGCAGTAGCAGACTACGAAGGCGCCGACGGTCCAGAGGATGATGAGTAGACGGGGGCTGGGGAAGATGCGTCTGTAGAGGACGAGGATGGAAATTTTGGCGAGGGCGATGGCGGGGTTGTAGAGGATTAGGTGTGCGAGGACGATCTGGTGAGATATGAAGCTTTAGTGTATGGACTACTGGTAGGTGAATGGTGTAAGTCGCACCTTTCCGAACGTCTGGGGGTGATATAAGAGAATTGCGTGTTTGCCTCCTCCGTAATGGACGCCTAGTCTTCTGTGAGCGTTTTGGGCGGATTGGGAGCGGGATTGGGAGCGAGATTACATAGCAGTCCAATAGCGACCTGCGCCGACGCAAGAATCTGTCAAGAAGGAAGGTCTAGTCAGCGTCCACAACAGACACTCGCTGGGAAAAACATGCTTGCAATTCAGTGGCCACGACGGACACCGAATGGAAATTTCACGCTCGACATCGGGGGCGAGAGGAATACCCATGCAGCAATGACGATGTAGTCATCGGCCTGAAGGCGCGCCGCCTTACACAAATGCCGAGAAACCAGCCTCAAGATGACTGCAATGGTAGCCAGGGGAAGACATATATAATGCGAAACCAAGATCTGACTCGATCGGTTATCGCTGGCGTGCGCGAGTTGGTTCTGAGCCTCGCTGGGGCTCGGGATCAGCGGGGATGGCATTTGGTATTGGTGCTTGCTTCAATTTCGCGAGAGCGAGATCGAACATACCAGGAGTCAAGGGCTATTCATATGTCCAGGAGGCGGGAAAGTCCTCCAATGACCTGCCCACCCAGGCGAAGGATCCAAAATGCGCGCTATCGAAGTTGGAATGAGATGGAATGGAATGGTATGCACACGGCACGCACATGGACTGTTGATATGCATACGTTTCATGCATGTAAGAAAAAATGCCGAATAGCAGGACTCTGCTTTCCTTTTCGCATGCGAGGTGGAGGCGTGGCTCGACGAATGTGGATCTCTCCGAGGGGCGCGGTGGAAAAGAGCTGCATTCTGGGGATATCAATCGAAGATGATGCTCCAATGGCTGAGAGATGCACCAGGGCGTGCGACTGGATTATTGACTACCATGGAGAACATAAGAAAGAACGCATGAAGGTGGTCATGCTCCGGTCTAAGTACAAGAAGCCACCCGGAGACTTTCCCTTGTTTCCATGTACAATTCTGGTGGGTTCAGGGGCGATTAGCCGAAAACCCCGCACGGATTCTTCTTCCTCTCACACCGTCGGCTCTGCTTGCTCTAACATACTTCATTATAACCTTTTCATCAAGAAAGCTACCGTCAGCTGACGAGAGAATGAGACTCGCTATTCTGAGTGTTGCAGATGCTCATTTATCTGCTCGTACCAATGGCGAAGTAGTCAATTGTGACGAAGCAGAAAGGCTTGGCCAAGGAACTAGAACTACGCCTTCACATAAGGCTTTGCTGCAGTGTTAGCCTTGACAAGAAGATTGAAACTCCGTTGGAACATGAGATGATACTGAAAGTAAGCAGTTGAGCACCTTTCTCACTCCGCCGACGATAGCAAGATGCTCGGTCTACTCACCAAATAACAACGACAGCGACAGTGACAGTGACAGCGAGGACGTGAATGTAGTATGCGTGTATGCCGTGGTGATGTGTGTTGGGGGCCAGCGGTTAGTCAGGGTGAGTGTGCGAGGGTGACTGTCCGGAGTCAAGTCGTGTTCAGTCTATCGGAGTCTTGGAAATGACATGTCAAAATTACCAGTTGAACCGTTGGTTTTGAAGTCAAAACAACACCAACTACTAATTACCAGACCTCAAACCGCATCAGCAACCTCTAGAAATCGATTATTTGACTGATAGAGGAGTAGTCAATTGGTGCAGCATTGCCAGCCCTGAAAGGCGGTGATTTCGATGTTCGAGGTAGTTTGGGATTCAATGGTGAGGTAGATTCGGGCAAACATGTGGTGCAGTGGCTTAACGCTTGAATTGTGGCCAAATCTGGGGCAGCGAGGGAAGGGCAGGAGTTATGGAGCCAACTTGGTTGGATTTGTGCAAAAGAAGCTAAATTCATTGCCTCTCAAATGGCCGATTCGTGACTAACGGCCGGCAATTCGGAATCCAAAACGGGTACGTGCAAACATACGAGTGCTTGGGTTGAGTTGGTATTGTTTTTGCAAAGTCTTCGGCTTTGATGACAATCGGGCGTGAAAAGCCCCACGCTGCAGGCAGACCTTTCACTGGGGGAAATATGCATCTTTCGGCATGATTGCTTGATATCCATTCCGCAGTAAGGCTGCGTCTTGAGCGTCACATGAGCCCATCCGAAGGATCCTTCCTGTATGCAGGGGGTGGGGTAAGGCTATCAATCTGACGAACCTGGCAGCGCTGTTAAGACGTTGTTCAGAAACTTGACTATCACAAGACGCGTGACCATTGCGATCATTTCGAGAGAGAAGGAGTTGTTGAGAAATAATATTCTTTTTTATTCTTCGGCTCGGTCCCAGTCTTTCCCATCTGCAGCTGCGTCACGAGCAAACAAATGAGCCGAACCATATATGCGGTGTAGTCATCCAACTTGGCACAGTCACCCATATGTCCGGACCTCTGATATCGAGTCCTCAGGTGTTTTAGCAGCGAGGAACAGTGCAATGGGTAGAACTCTCTTGGCGAAAGCGTGCAGTTGTCCCGGGCAGTACTAGCAAAACTTTCCAAGGTTGGTATTGATCCCTTGACGCTGCAAGTCGGCTGTGCCATCTGCTCCAACGTCCCTTTGGGACCGATTCAAAAAGTATGGTTCTTAGGGCGATATCATATGGTTCGGCTTTGAAGTCAAACACGTCGTCACCGAACCTGCAGAAACGGAGGAGGGTCTACCCCCTTGTTGCGGTATGCGTAGCGCTGTTTTATCTCGATTCAAGTGTAGTTCAATCGTATACCATAGTGTTCGTAATCAAATTCCTCTAGACACATCAGCATCTCTGCCCAACCATCTTCAGACCACAAGTGGCTCTGTTCTTCAGACTGCTTATCCTTCTGCCCCTCACCTAACCTAGTATTCATGTCCTTCTCCTTCTCCTCCTCCTCACTCTTTCCCTCCAACACCCTCCCCTCCCTCCCTCTCCACACTTCCCGTAGTCCCTTGTGCGGCACCCAACACACCCTCATCCCCGCCCTCCTCCCCGCCTCGACCCCCGCCACACTATCCTCAAAAACCAAACACTCCTCCGGCCTCACCTCCCTCTCCCCAAGCCCCAAGTGAGCGTTAATCCTACCAAGCGCCAACAAAAACACATCCGGCATCGGCTTCTTCCTCGCCTCACTCATCGCCGCGTCATCGCCGAAGACGCGACATTCCTGGGGGAAAGCAGAGTTGATGCTGGGCAGGTGGGATGTTTTTATCCTGAAGGTTTTGCTCGTGGCGGAGGAGGCGATGGCCATGTGGACTGCTGGATCGGTCTTGGAAGAGAGGTTGGAGAGAAGTTGAGGGACGCTGGGGAGCGGGGTGCAGGTCTTGAAGAGCTCGTACTGGGCGCTGACTTTGGCGGTCCATTCGTCATACGTGATGGGCAATTGGGCCCAGTCGAGGAGCTGGAGCATGCCCTGGGTTTCTGCTGTTAGCTCGGATGTTCGACGAGAAGGCGGAGGCGGGGGTGAAGGATACCTCGCGGCCTCTGCTCTGCTGCCTCGCTTTGATGCTCCATGGTAAGTCGGGCTTGCCGTACGAGTGGAGGATGTTGTTGTAGATGTCGGTGTAGACGTCTTCCGAATTGATTAGTAGGCCGTCTACGTCGAAGATGCAGGCGCGGACCGGTGGGAAGGTGGCATTGTTGGTTTGGACCTCAGGCATGGCCGATGTGAGGTGCTAGGTTTGGGAATCGCAGTCTGCAATGCCTAATACGCGAGGGAACCACAGGTCGGACGTGACATCCGTTGAGGAGCTATGCATTCGAATATATATTTCAGAGACTATTATGACTGTAGTGCTAAATGCTACGACCTGACCCAGTTGCCCCTCCTCACTTGACTATAATTTTTCCCCTTCCACCACACCCGTTGTTTATTCTTCCACCTCCTCCTCTTCTTCCTCCTCTTCCTCGAGCTCCTCTTCCCCATCCTCTTCATCAGCGTCCATGCCCGCTGTTGCTTGCTCGTTCTCAGAATCAATGCTACCAACACTTTTCAAGTCTCGTTTGAGGTAATGGGCGCGAAACATCTTACACAACGTCGTCATATCATCATAGACCACCTGTCGTTGGTATGACCCGGGTATGTAGATAGTATTGGCGATATTGAACGTCAGCGAGGAGAGGATATTGCGGGCATCCCAGTCATCGTTGGGAGGTGACACTGGAAGCCGGGATTTGTATTGCCTTATGTATGTCTGTTTGCTAAGACAGTGCCGAGGTACCCTCCAATTGCCAGTGGCGTACTCGTTGTGACCATGGAAAGAGCGGGCATCGAACACAAATGCATCCCCCGTTCTCCGATCTAAAGCCGTGTTGCCTCAGACTATTAGACAAAAGATCATCAACTCGGGTGGGAGTCATCGCTTACCATCCCAGCAGTCACCGTGAATTAAGGCAGGGTTTGAGAAACCGTCCCCCCGACTACAGCGGCAGAAGAAGCCGAGGAACAACTTTCTCTAGCGTGAGCCTGCACACAACGTCGAATTCAGGCCACTGAAGAATTGGCTTTGCCAAATTCATCACATGCCCGGGGTGTCCGGTATAGAGAGCATACCATGAGTCTTCCCAAGTGTCGACCGCTTGAGCAACCCTGGCGTGACAGGTAGCAATGTGGAAGCCAAACTTTCCGGTGGGAGATACAGATTCCTTATGTAGATTGGCCAGGCCAGCTGCGAGCTTCATAGGACTTGCCGGCTGTGAGGGGATTAGTCTTGAGGCAATGACACGAGAAGAGAAACGGATTGCTTCAATCAGGGAGATAGGCAAATGGAAGGCTTCTGAAGACCCGCTGGAAAGCAATGGGTAGCAGGAAAAGGAAGCTAAAGGAATTTGTCTTGCTATGTGTATATCCAATCACTGCAAACCTCAAAGCACATAGTTGCTTACCAACATCACGAAATTCTGCAAGAAGATAGGTTTCGATCTTCTTGCGCATATTTTCCCCAAGCATAGGGTTCTGGCACGAAGCGAGCAGAAACAGTGTGAATCGTTTTCAGAGATTCAAATTCGCCTTCGCACATATGCTTCCCCGGGGCACCCATCGTAACAACCTGAAAGATTAGCATCAGCTGTTGCATATGCCGTCGTTGTGAGATGATTCAACCTTGAGGAAGTAGGTTCTCTCTTCTCCGGAGGATACCTCGACGATGACTTTGGCGGTCTTGCCCCACGTCGACATGGCATAATTCTGCGCATGTACTATTTTAGTTCCAGGTACAGGAAAAGCTGACAATCTTTAGTATCGTCAACGCTATACTTGACAATCCAACTCGCAGGCTCTCATGCTCTCATCAACATCGTAGTTTCCACGGGGCTGAGCGGGCTGTATAGGCTCCGAGGGCGTCTGTTCAGCCTCTCGCTGGGCTTCACTGAGTTTGATGTTAGAGACGGACTCGGTGACCTCCATACCAGACATCACCATCGTAGAAGCCATAGCTATAGCTAGAAAAGACCAAACCTTGACAGCAATGATAGTCAAAGGTATGAGGCTCTGACGGGGTAGGTGCCAGGCTGCGTCGACGATTTAGGAAGGATCGGCCTTGCCTATCTCTGTGAAGCCTATTCTCGTCCTGCATATTGACTTGACCATCATCCCGGGACTCTTTTGGGGAAGATGCAACTTTCCATAGGCCTCTGGAAGTAAAAGGCTACCGTTGATTGCCCATCACCACTACTTTTCGTCATCATCTTATTTGGGGTGATTTCCGTCGGCGACAAGCGATCAGTCGGTTAGAATTTGTCCGTTTGACGGCCAGCAGTATGGTCAGTGCCCTCCAAACATCGTATCACCGTTTACCCAAGCTCCACTAACTCAACGCTCACGAAGTAGCTGCGCAAGATTGGTTTGCACTCTCATGGCGCTTACGATAGCGGCGGTCCCGCTTCCGGTGAACCTTCTGCTGGGCACGGGCTTGGCCTCGAAGGGGCACCATCCTCTAAATCAGATCCTCAATCGCGTGTTAGAGCACGATCTTCCGTGGGCTTTCCTGTCGAAGCCTCCCATCGCGCTGGTACAACACCGTTCCAGCGTAGAAGCGGAGGTGATATACTCCGCAGCCCATCCAACGCGACTTCTGTGTTTCCTAGCACAGAGAATGTGTTACAAGCAGGAAGCCAAATTTCTGACCCTCTGGGGCTTCACCTAGTCTACGGCAACTCTCATCCCAGTGGGGATATCATATTCGTACATGGGTTGGGAGGTTCGGCGAGAAAGACGTGGTCTTGGGATAGGAATGTGGACTACTTCTGGCCCGTGTGGCTGGCTGAAGAAGATCGATTGTCGTCTTACAGGATTTTCACGTATGGATACAACTCCAATTTCAAGGGCGCTGGGACCAACCTCAATATCATCGACTTTGCCAAAGACCTTCTGTTCCAGATGTTAGTCTTCTCCGATGGGCTCGGAGAGGATCGCCTACCTATTGGCCGGCAGCCCATCATATTTGTTGCGCATTCCATGGGAGGCTTGGTAGTCAAGAAGGCGTATGTGCTCGGAAAGCATGATGGCCAATATGCCCATATCGTTTCAAAAACACATGGGATCATGTTCCTTGCCACGCCACATAGAGGCGCACACTACGCGAAGATTCTTAACAACATTCTGTCGACAGCACCGCTTGGTGCACCGCCAAAGTCTTATGTTGAGGACCTGGACACACACTCACGAACTCTACAAGATATAAACGAACAATTCCGAACCTTGTGCGGCGACCTGTCCCTGGTGTCCTTCTTTGAGACCCTTAAGACAAGCTTTGGCATAACGAAGTCCCTTATCGTCGAGAAAGAGTCAGGAGTCTTGGGGTATCCTCAAGAAACATCAAATCCTCTGAATGCAGACCATCACACCATCTGCAAGTTCAAGAGCAGGGAGGATGGAAACTACATTAGTGTGAAGAGCATGCTCAAATTGTGGGCGTCGAAACTGTCTCAGCCGCGTGTTCAAAGTAAGTACCAAGAGCACAACTTTACTGTCATGTCTACCTCTCAAATTATCGTCAAGCCGAATGAACCTCTGTTAGCTGTCATCTGTATCTGGCAGCTTTTTCCCGTGTATTTTCCATTTAAAGGAGCAATTTTTGCAAGACCAACTACCACTCGTAGGAAGTACTCTTCGGTACGGTCCTCCTGGAGCTCTCATGCGACCTCCGTCCATGTCAACAGACATGGATCAAATCGGCTCGTTGACCGATTGGGGACATGTCGCTTTTATGCACCTGGGCGCTGAAGATGCGCCTGAGGGCGAAGTGGCTCTCAGAGAAGTCATACTCGACGGTCCTTGTTCATTTAACGGCGGGTTTACAAACAAGTCTGCTAAGTGTGCTCCGTCGTGGTCTGATGTTCTCGCCAGGTTTGATCCTTTTTTGGGAGGACGAACTTATTGGAAGCAGCTCCCACTGAACTGTTCCCTGACATGGCACTCAGCCCAACTTCTATCAATATTGACTATCTGAAGCACAATCTCTCAAGCCTGCCTTTCACATCTTTTAATTGACTGCCACCGAGCCACCCACATCAATAGATCGACCTTACCTTATCGCTCTCATGCAAGACCTTCATTCTCTCTTCCCTATATCTTGATCATCATATTCAGTCGAGTGCTCCCCAAGTGATGTTTAAGCTGACTTCACGGAAGGGCCGACGGCCCATGCACGTAGGACCAGCAGCACATTTGGCCTGTTCAAGAGCATAGAAGCCATAATGGGTGTACGAGAACGCGCCGAGGAAGAATTCAAGACCTTCCGCAGTAAGGCAATGAGCGGAACTTGCCAATGGATTACGCGCAAACAAGGCTTCTTGGAATGGATTGAAGGACGTGAGGCATCTCAGAGCCCCAGCATCTTTTGGCTCATCGGCCTTCCTGCTATGGGCAAAACAATACTTGCCAGTTATGTCATAGACTACCTTCTACTCCATGGTGCTAGTAAAGACTGTCAATATCACTTTTTCTCTGCCGGCCATCAAAACAAACGGACAGCAGCGTATTGTCTTCGCTCCATCGCCTCCCAGCTTGCATTCGCAAACGAAGAATTCAGAGAGAGACTGTTCACTTTAAGCGAAGAAACGGGCATTTCGTTCAGCTCACAAGACCAAAATCTTGGCGTCATATGGGAGAAAATATTCGAAGGAATAATCTTCAAAATGGAGGTAGAGCCTTTGTGTTGGGTGTTGGACGCCTTTGATGAGGCGGACGTGCCGTCAACGCTGATCAGCAGCCTTATGAAAATTCGTTCATTGACACCAATCAGAATATTCATTACCAGCAGACCAATAAGGGTACCATCTGGACCTGCGACATGTGGATCCTCGATCAATACCTGCTTCCTCTCTGAAGATGACACAGGTGGTGACATTCAAGCATATGTTCGCAACGCCGTCCGCGAAGCCTTACCGGACGATGAACAACAAATCCGGGACGACATCATAGAGCAGGTCCTGTCAAAAGCCGGAGGCTCCTTTCTCTGGGTTAAATTGGCCCTTGAGACATTGCATGACAATTGGCATACGCAGGATGACATCCGTAAAGTCTTGACTGAAATGCCAAAGGGAATGGGACACCTGTACATTCGAATGCTAGAAATTATCAAGACCCAGTCTCCTAGGTTGCAGCTTATGGCAAAGAGGATATTGACATGGACTGCCTGCTGCTGGAGGCCTCTTGGCATCGCTGAATTGCAGACTGCTTTGGAACCTGAGTTCTCAGGATTTGTAAGATTGCAGGAGACAATCGTTCAAATATGTGGTAATTTCATCTCCATGGACAATGACAAGGTGTGCTTGATACATACGACAGCCCGCCAATTTCTCCTAAATGGCTGGGATGGCGCACCGGCGTTCATCGACTCTGGGCATGGCCACGAGCACATTGCAACCGTCTGCTTGAAACATCTCTGTGACGAGAAATGGAAACGCATTTTCAAGACCGTCGAGACCTCCACCATTACAGCCACAGGGACGGCACCCCAAAAGAATCGGCTACTGCTTGCCGAGAACAGAAACCCGTTCCTCGGCTACTCAGTATGCTATTACGCTTACCATGTTTCTAAGTCAACCCTGGATTCGGAGCAATTACCAGCGGTCCTGAAGAACTTCTTTGTAAGATACTGCCTTTCCTGGATAGAGGCCATTGCATTATCAAGAAATCTTAGATATCTCACGAGGTCGGCTCAATATTTGAAGGCCTACGCAAAGAGGAGATCGCGCAGACCAACCCTCAATGATGTTGACTCTCCCTTGACTTTAAAAGATTCTGACAGCGATGACTCAAGAAGCATACATCTATGGGCAATCGACTTCATTCGTATAGTAGGAAAGTTCGGACCTAATTTGATTCAGAACCCATCATCAGTGTACCGACTTATTCCTCCATTTTGCCCTCGTGCCTCAATGATAGGCACCGTATATGGCCCACAGGAAGGATCGATCTCTGTGACTGGACTGCCTTCGGAAGGGTGGGATGATTGCCTCGCAAGTGTGAGCGTCGGGAAGGAGGAAGCGGCATCTAAAGTCCTTGCGACGGATGCATTCTTTCTGACATTGGTCAGTAGCAGCGGGACTGTAGTTGTATGGTATGCCGAGACCTGCGAAGAGGCTCGAAGGATCCGACATGGGGAGTACATCTCATTCATGGAAATGAGTCGGTCTCAGAGCCTTCTGGCGACGGCAGGCAGCGAAAGCTATCGAATATGGGATATCTCATCTGGCAGACAGCTGTACCAGCTTGAGAAAACGTCTCGGGCCCTCACCATGGCAATAGCTTTTGGCAGCGCTGGGTCCGAACTGATTGTCGGCCTTGATGATTGCTCAGTAACGTGCTATGATCTCGAAGCATCACGACAGAAATGGCAATTTACTTTACCTACTTATGGGGATTATGGTGGTTGTCCCCTCATTATGACCATCAGCCCAGACTTGACCAAGCTTGCAGTGGCCTGGAGGGGGAAGCTCCCCGTGGTGTGGGACGTGTTCGGGACCGAGTCTCAACGGCCCTTACGATGCCGAGTTCGGAGCAGCACAGACGCGCTGTCTTCTCCCTTGACGATGCAATGGCAAGCCGACGCAAACTCGATCCTCATTCTTTGTCACGATACGAAACTCATCGAGTGGCACATTTACGATGAGGAGCAGCACGAGTTCGATCATGTCAAGCCTCATGAGATGACTATGAGCCAGGACGGTAATTTTCTGCTCACAAGTAACCATATGGGCACAATCAGCGTCTACGCTTTCCCAAGACTTAGTCTCATTTACCAACTGGTCAATGAGAACGAGTTCATCGAAAATCTAGCCTTCAGTCCCGACGGTCAGCGCTTCTATGACATACGTGGTTCCATCTGCAATGTATGGGAGCCCGACGCCCTTGTAAGACCTGATGACTATGAACTCGAAGATCGAGGAAGCTCCATAGCGACTGAGCCCGTGATAGCACATGATGAAAGCAGCCAGACTCATGTCACGGCATTCGCCTATGGCTCTGTAGATAAATTCTACTGCGCTGGCCGTGAGGACGGCACTGTCTGCATTCATGACGCCATTGATGGCAAGAAAGTGCGTAAAGTCTCCGCTCATTCATCTCACAGCTCGATCATAATACTTGCTTGGTCCCCCTCCGGCAAATACATAATATCCGGGGATGACTCCGGCCGGATTGTCGCAAAAAGGGTTGAATTGAAAGGAAGTAATGCATTCGGCGTTTTTCCAGTCTTCGACTTTCGAATAGATGAGCCAGTGCAGCAGTTCTTACTGAATGATTCCGAAAAACTGCTTCTCATTTCGACATCCTCTAGTGACAGATTATGCGATCTCAAGTCAAAAAAAGAGTTGTGCTATCGAAGATGGAGCTCAAGCCAAGGCAGGAGATGGATCCAGCACCCCTTCAACCGTGAGCTCCTTATATGGATTGATCCGTCCGTGGTTCATACCTATAGTTGGAAGGTACTGGGGCATGCTGATCCGGTGGAAATTCCGCCAGTGGAGCCCGTCCCACCAAACCCCACCGCATCCCACGGCAAAGTCGTTTATTGGGTCGCCTTGACCAACAACAAACAGTACATCGTCTACCTATCTGGCGCGGGCCATACAGACACGCAGTTATCAAGCGGCCTGCATCTCGAATTTCTCTCTACTTCTGACCTCCAGGTTCAGCATCCGCACTCACTGACTAGTGATTGTATGACCGACCTCACGGCTCAAATCAAACGTTTGATAGGCACCTATCAAGATCGAATCGTCTTCCTTGATCACGACTATTGGCTCTGTACCTGGAGGATAGATGCTGGTCTTAACGATGTGAAGAGACATTTTTTTTTGCCGAAGGACTGGCTTAATCACAACACGCTGCATATGGCTACATTGAATGCACATGGAACTTTCTTTTGCCCGAAACACGGAGATGTAGCCATTGTGAGACACGGAATGCGGTTTTAGACACGCACGAGTCACAGGAGGATGGCTCAAGTCCCGTCTTAAAGAGGTGTCGCGTTTGGCCGTCCTCGAGTAAATGTACCCTCCCAGATGCAGTGTCCTGATTGTTCTATCGATACTGCCGTCACAGAGGAAGACACTGTTGATCAGAGCAAATACTAAGCAGCCCGATACTTTCGAACAATGAGACGAGGCTCAGATACATAGTTTAACAGACAAGCAATTTCATTCGATCTCACTTGGGGTCTGTTTGGAGAGACCTGCAAAGAGAAACTTCATTCGGATCACGTCGTGACTAGCTTCTGGCATTATACGACTATACTTCTCACGCACCATACAGCGTGTACGTGCCTTCCTCCGGCGAGCTAAGGCCTTCCCAATGTTCAACACCTTCACCACCAATGCTCCCGCCCTCCTTTCTTCTTCTCACCGTCAACTCATGTTCTGCTTGCTCCTCCCTTTTCTCCCTTCTTTGCCTGAAGAACTTCCTTCACAAAACCGGCAGCCTAATCCGATTTCAGTAATAAAAACATCCACAGCCATGGCGCAGATGGTTACAGTTGCGGAGGTGTTCGCGTTGGATCTGGACGCGGCGCGGGACAGCCCGACCAGCCCGGAAGTTAGACCCGGAAGTTGTACCCGGATGTGAGGGGGGTGTCAGTGTATCAAAGAGGGGTGTGCATGTACCTTAGCTGAGGGCTATGAGTTCCGGTAACCGTGCCTAAACGATATTGATGCGTGGGACCGCCTATTGACAGTTTCAAAGTAGCCAGGAGTGCGAAGAGCCAGCTGCTATGTGAGTCCAAGAAGTCAAAGCTTCAGTACGAACGGCCATTCTATATGTGTTTGGAATGAGAGCGGGTGGCATGCGGTTTCAATCCCTATTGTTCCAGAAACAGCAGATTCTGATCCCTGAATTAACCTCAAGGAGTACTTGCCGCGTCCACAAGAGGACACACAGTATCCGCGTCTTTTATTCTCCGCCTACCCACTACTACTTACAAGGCTGATCCCATTCAAGGGGTATACCAATTCTGCATGACAGCGATGATAGGCAATTCTACTAGAATTAGACTAATAATTGGCCAAGGTCGAAGGATCTTCATTGTACAGCGATCCGGTGGATTGTTTATCCTCTGTTGCTTTCGCCGGTTTTCCCATAGACCCCTGCGGCTTCATTGGCCCCTGGGGACTCTAAAGCGAAAAATCGGTCAAACAAGAAGATGAAAACTGTGACTTCAAACATGAAGAAGGCTTCAGGGATATATTCGTCATAAGGAAGTTGCCAATGTCTTTACACGACCTGCGGGACTGAGCCTCCTACAGTCACTTCATAATTCCTCTGGACAACAATTTGAGCGTCACCGGGATCCTCAGTATGAGGAAGGGTCTCGGCGACCACGGTATTCGCTGGAATCGAGCCGCAAGCCCAGTCGATTCGCTCGCCGGCCAGATTGCGACTCTCGTATGCCCGATCGCCCGACCCTTCACCAAGCTTTTCGAATCCTCTGACCATGCTTCGTGACTGAGTTATAGCTCCAAGATCCATAGAGTAGCTGCGGTCCTTCTTCTGCGAAGATCGTTCCCTCGAGCTCTTGTATTCTCGAAAGAGCTGCGGGATCACCACAGGCAGACTCCCGCATATAATGGCGCACACTTCTTCAGCTACCGAGAGGATGAGAAATACCACCACACCGTCTAGATCATTATAATTAGTCAGTCTTTGTGTCGCAACGCAGAATGTGGTTGGGGACACGCTTACAACTGGGGTCACTCTGGTCGTCGGTGTCAACCTCCAATTCCACGATTCGGGCAAGTTCTAGAAGGCAAGCACTACGCGCGGTGACCGCCACGTTAGCTTCAAATACGTATCGCCTGGACGGTGTCCAGCTGGGGTGGAAGATACCTACAGTGCTCCGACTGAGAATATGGAAGCAAGACCGAGCTTCTTTTTCAATGATATTTGAAGCTTCGAGATGGCTGTGAGGGGTAGTAACAAGAGGGCAACGTCCGAGATGAGGCTAAATATCAGAGGCATGGCAACATGTGCAACCGTGGTAGCTTTGCACTGGCCCTTCATTGCGATTGGTGGTCCAACATGGTATCTTTGATAGTACCGTGTCCAATACCATTGAACCGGCCAGCACTGAAAGATGTAAAATCCTGTTGCCCCAAAGAACCACAGGATGACATAGACCATGTTGGCCCACCAGGCGACGCGCAGCCATTTCTGGTTGACCAAAAACAGGCGGCGGTAGAAGAAAAGAAGAGAGAGCTTGATGAAGGTGAAAGTGGGGCCCACGAACACCATACACAGCCAGACATGCTACAAGACCGAATACGTCAGAGCTGCCATCATGACCCGAGCATGGAAAGTGAGTTGACGAACCTTGAAGATGTTCGAGATATTTCGGGGCATATGCGGATCCTCGGCATTGATCCTCCATGAATGAAGTCCAAGTCCATAATGGGTTGCTTGAGATTTGTATCAGAACAAAGGCTTTTGCACACAATGAAAATGGACATACAGGCCAAGAGATTCCCGATGACAACATTCACGCAGACCTTAAACACGGTAAGTCAAGTGTTAACTCTTCCTCGTTTGACGATGACCACGAACCCCACTTAGAAGGACGAAGACGTCTTCAGGAAAGATACGCCCCCCTATCCTATAGTGTGCCCGGTAATGTGCGACAAGTCGTGCCACAACAGCAAGGTTGTTGAGCACAAGAAAGGTTACGAGAGTCCCATACAGCGCCGGTCGCCTGTCTCCGCCAAAGTCTGCAGAAGTCACCTGTGGAGTAGTCATAGTCATCAATCGCGTTTCATAAGGGTAAGAATAGTGCCTAGGTCCTACGAGGTTGCGCAGAGCAGGCTTTTAACAAAATGCTAACGGTGCCCAGCCTCATATCCAAAAAGAGTAAGGGTAGTAAGATCATGCTCGGTAGGAGAATTTCACGTCGATCGCATCCTTCTGGACCCTGGGCATGCCCTAGCGCCGCACAGCATGAGATGGGCCGGCATGGGTAGGTGTTGAGGCCTGCGATGGGCTGAGATGCGTCCCATTCGATTCGCTAAGAGGAGGTATGATGCCTTTCATGTCGGTTGACTAGTCTACCCGAAGGTGCACGAATAATTTGGTGCTGAAGAGGGGGCGGTTTTGGCACGCTATCCAGCCGAGGTGGTAGGTATCTGTAGAAGGATGCAACTGTATGCGGAGCTCAGAAGGCTCCTCAATCTACACCTCCAACACACCACCACTGCCGGTGCATACTAGAGAGTACTAATTGCTAGTCACCACTCAAGCAACCTTCCAACGGCAAAAAGTCGTCCTCGACGAGAAACAATGTCTGGTGCAATCGTTGTACCCCCCCATCTCCCCATCTTACAGTCTTACCAGTGCGAGTGACTAGTTGCCAAGGTTCACGCTCAGGTTGGACTCGGGCAAGGTATGTGTTACCGCCTTGGCATAGTCATTACTGTTGATCAGGGCGGTGCTGATTGTCAGTCACCACGGGGGCAGCTTTCCAGCGGCAAAAAGTCGTCCCTAAGATGAAACAAGTAGGTACTCGGGCGAACAATGGGGTACTTCGGATGAAATCTTTAGTCCAATAGCGAGCCGCCCCGGCGGTACGTCTCGAAAGCTAAATTGGCGCCGGCGGACACTAAGGTACACCGTATTCGTAAGCTTGTAAGCATTCTAAAAAGCACGGTCACCCGCGGCGTAAGGTACGGTATACGAGGATTACTATCCTCCGCTGAACAATGGCTGACGGACGAATATCTGACTACTAGAGCTATATCATTATTCGAGCGTTGAAAGACGCCTCTACAGCTAATCCAAGCAAAATTGCTTTAAAGCACAGCGACTCTGACGTGCAAGCAATATGCATGCATCAAGAAAATTGTCTTACACCCTTAATGAATCAAAGCAATCGGATGCGTTATCTGCGACTGCATGATTATCTTATGACGCTTCGATGACTTCAATTTCAGATTAGCCTCAGAGGCTGTCGGATCCGTTCTCCCCTGAACATTCAATAACACTTCGATTGCTTTGATTCCAGGTCAGCTTTAGAGGCATTGTCTAACGCTCGAATGATAAATTCACGACTTCAATGATGAGACACACAAGAATCAGCGTCTGCTCTGCCAAGGATCGCAATCCTACTACAAGTAAAGTACCTTAAGTAGTAAAATGCATCCTTCCGTCTTGGCAGGACTCATTTCTCTGCCCAACGAATTTTGATCGTTTCCTTGCCCTTCACGAGTAGCTGCTCCCTCTTCCACTTTGCTTTGTTTTCGACTTCCGTGACTGTGCCCACTGCCAGAAAGTTGGGAATTTGAAGCAACCTCCTGAAGGACCTCTAAATCCACCCACCCTCAGACATGGCAGACCTCGACCCGAAACGCATTCATGAGCTGAAAGCTGCAGAGTTACAAAGTCCAACCGAGTACAATGGAGCGGCCGAGGCTCGTGTGCGCCGCAAACTTGACTGGCACTTGATGCCGCTCTTCTTCGTCCTTTGTAAGTAGGATGCTTTTGCCGTCAAGTAACCTTCCTCCTGGGAGTGTAGCTCACGTCCCTCGTCTCTCTAGACATGCTTGCCTTTCTTGACCGCAGCAACATTGGCAACGCCGTCATAGCCGGAATGACACGCGATCTTCACTTGGTGGGAGATCGATATGAGTGGCTGTTGACAATCTTCTACATCACCTACGTTGTCTTCGAATTCTCCCTCCTTTTCTGGAAAATCTTTCCTCCTCACCGAGTAGCGGCAGTCGTCGTGTTCTGTTGGTGAGCAAGCCTTTCCCCCTCTTCCAGCTCAAAATCTATCACGGGCGAAAGCAGAATGTCTAATGTTGCATGGCCAGGGGCGTGATCGCGACTCTACAATCTGTGGTTCACAATTGGAGTGGGCTTATGGCTCTTCGGTTCTTCCTTGGTGCTTTTGAAGCGGCCTACGCGTAAGCACAGCTTTCGATACTCTCGTCAAAGACTTGATGCGCTCTCGGGCTGTTTGACTGACACTGGCGGCTAACTCCTAGGCCCGGTGTCATCTACCTATTGTCATTTTTCTATCTCAGGCATGAAGTCGGTTTCAGGTGTGGCATGTTCGCTTCAGCGGCTCCCCTCGCGTCCACATTCGCTGGGGCTCTGGCCTACGGCATCACGAGCGGTCACTCTTCGCTCAGTAACTGGAGGCTCCTCTTTCTAGTTGAGGGTCTTCCGACCATCCTTCTTGCCCCGATAGCCTTCTTCTTCATACCAGATTCGCCAGATAATGCGAGATTCCTCAACGCCGAGGAGAAGGCCATTGCTAAGTCTCGGGCTGTTCGACAAACGGGTACGAGCGATAGAATCGGAGGTGTGAACCTAAAGCAACTTGCTCAGACATTGTATGACGCGAAAGCGTGGTGCTATGCTGTACGTATCGAGGTGTCTCATTCCAAATATCTGTCTCGTCGCCGTTTGCACCATTTCAAGTAGAGCTGACCGATATTGAAGTTGATGTACTTTAGCGTCAACGTGAGCTATGCGAGCTTGCCAGTCTACCTTCCCACCATTCTGGCCAAGATGGGATACAGTGACATCAACGCCCAGGGCCTGTCAGCTCCGCCATACTTCACCGCATTCCTGTTCGCCAACATTACAACTTTCATTGCAGACAGGACACAGCAGAGGGGCTTGGTCCTCATAATCACGTCCCTGATAGGGGGCATTGGCTACATTGTCCTTGCAACAGTCACCACCGTCGGAGTCCGATACTTTGCCGTCTACTTGGCCGCTGCCGGCGTTTTCTCTACTATTCCTAACATTCTGGCATGGACACTCAGTACGTCTACAAAGGGCCTCCCGCCCCCGAACTTTCCCCCTTCGACTTTCCCCACAAGGCTGGGAGGTCAGCGCTGATTCTGAAATTGTTAGACAACCAAGGCAGCGATACCCGCCGTGGGGCTGGGCTCGTCATCATCAACGTCATCGGACAGTGTGGTCCAATTCTGGGCACCAGACTCTACCCCACAGCGCAAGGCCCACGGTATGTCAAGGGGATGAGCATCTGTGCCGCTTTCATGTTCTTTGCCGCGGTAATGGCCTTGGCGTTACGAATCCTTTTGGTGTGGGAGAATAGAAAGCTCGACCAGAGGTACGACAACAAAGCAGGGGAAAGAAGGGAGATGGATCAAGGCGCCGCTGTTGCCGTTGAAGATTATGGCCCCAAGTTCCGTTACGTTCTTTAACCGATGGTGCCAGGTAACTTCTTCTTGTCCTCACACCAAGCAGTTCTACTGCCGAAGGGTTCTGTAAAGAAAATTAATAAACCGGTCTTGCCAAAATAGCTTCATATAATCAACCAAAAAGCAGTCACATATGCCCTTGTGTCCAACTCGCTCGCTCACAATACATCCTCTGACAGGCAAAAAGCCGAAGCACAGGGCAGGGACACTGGAACAAGGCTCTTTTCTTACGACTGCAGTGACATGCAGCTTTCTAGAACGAGGCCATCCGTCAAGCCTCGGCTGCAGCTGCTTTATCGTGCAAAGATCGATTGAATGTTTGTCATTCAGTCGTCTTGTTCCCATCTGTTCTATGCGAACCTCTTGCCCTCTCTGTCCGCATACCCCAATCATGAGCCCACCGAACAAGTCCGCGGCTCTAGAGGGCACCCATTCGGCGGAGGAACTTCTCTTCTTGATTGAAGGATCGATGTGCAGCAAGGTGTCTGAGTTGCATCGAAAAGTCCCCCGGCTGGAGTATGATTCGAACCCGTTTTCTAAAAGATTGCTTCGACATTGTTCAGGTAGTCAGATCCGGTTTCCGCGGCATCGCGTTGAGGTACGTGGAGAACTTCACATGCGTCGAAGAGACTAATCGACATCTTTGAGTTACTTGGAATGATTTCTGACAATAGGACTTTGTTCTCTGATTGAGAACTATAAAAAACGATCCCGAATTCTGCGTGAACGGTGTAAGGTTGTAGAAACAGAGCAAAAATACCTTGAAGGGTAGGTAATCCGGAAGCGCACCTAGCCCCAGCCCGGTCCGGGACCTATCACGCCCAAAAGAGGTCCCTAGACTTCGATACCCGCTCCCAGGAGACAGCCCCGGGGTCCCTCGATGCGGAGCCAAGAGTACCTTGCGAGAGCCGGTACCGGCGCCGTTCGGGACTTCTGGCGCCGACCGCTCCCTAACGATCGATGTGCGTTGGGAGAATCCTACTCGCTTGCTTGGAGGCCGATGCTATCTCGACGAGCGTTCCTGTTCCGACGGCGGTGTCATTGTGTTCTTTTCCTGGGACGAGGCTGTCTGTCTAGCATGGGCTGAAGCTGCCTTGCCTGATACGAAAAGATCTGCATCATCCGCTGGATGACCTGAGATTCGTTGCTCTTTCGTTTTCGGCCATGCAGTCATACGGCAAATTCGTCCCATTGAGTCTGGGCGAATTCATGAACTTGAACCGCAGTCCACAGGATTTTTCGTTGAAGGGGCTACAATTAGGCAAATCGGCAAATCTTGCGAGAGGGAATAGCATCCGGTACCGTTACCTGTATAGCCTTGTCCAAGTGCCAAGAGGAGTTGGAAAATGAAAATGGAGGGGGATGTGAGGAAGTTACACACGAAAATAATAATCCGCGTTTGGTTCAGCGCGCCCTAAATGGGTCCAGAGCAATGCCGCCGTAGCATCGAGGCTCGCCACCAAGTGCTCGAGGCTATGGGGCGTGGGGGGTCGGGGGCATTGCTATGAACTGGGCCCTGCCCAGAGGCGACTAGGCTCGACTTCAAGGCTCTTTTCAGCCAACAAGAACGTAGGATGCCCAGTCATTCTCTTTATTGTTCGCTTGCTTTCCTTGCTCTACATCGCGTCGCCAGTCCCCCATGGTTGAAATTGACTCTTTTCTCCCCTAACTGAGCAGTAACTGGTGATAGCGAACCTCCAGTTTGCCTCCGTCACACTGTGAATGAGCTGAGCTAAGGCACCGCAGCATTCGGTTCGAGCTATTCTTATGAGTGGTTTGCCCTTTCAAGAGCACTCCGCGTCTCACGTCTGTCTGGTTGAACCACCAAAAGCATGGCTCATGAGACCAGATTGCTACTGTCAGTCTGCATTCTGGGTATTTACAGCGTCGACGGCAGCCTTTTCCCAGAACCTTCGACGTTTACAGGGAGGATTTGGAATCCTTCGTCGCGAGTTGTCTCTGAGATCCCAACAGGTAGGCTTTCGTTGCAGGCATACAATATTTCCCAGACTCGCTCTTTCAGCCGCACTGTCTCGAATGGATCTTACGGCCTGACCAGCACCATTACCGCACCTCCTCCTGGGACCTCAAATACTCTGGATACTGATGAACAAGATGGACTTTGTTATCTTGGAAACCAAGATTGCACGTACACCGGTATGACAACAACCGTTGTCGGACCGGACCAATCTCTACACCTCAATGATGAATGTTTGCTGTGGAATACCTCCTGTACTGAGAACAAGACATTAGCTCTCGACGAGCTCTTCGGTGGCTCCTGGGGTGCTGGCACCTTAGCATTCCTTCAAGAGAACGAGTGCTTCGTCAATCCTCACAACACATCGTTGGATTGCAGCAAATATGTATCTCAAGACGTCATGTTCGAATTCGCTGTCATCAAAGATTGGATGAGATCACCACGATGCTTGGCGAGTATTGCGGAGCAACAATTGATGCAGGGACAAACTTCAGTCCTGTCTGCGCTTCGAACCACTTGCTGTGATATCTGCTTCATCAGCGCGCAGAGCGTCGACGTTTACTACTGGCCAGATCCTGACGCAATCACATCTTGTCTTACCATTATTGGAAACGACGTCAATCCACCCCTCTATGGTGCCACAACGGGCTCGGCAACAACGTACTGGGGATGCACAGTTCAAGGTCCTTTTTCCGGGCCTTCCTATGTAACCACTGCTCTACTTACGAGTATCGGTCCTGTAACATTCAAAGAACCGTTAGTGGATCCATGGTTGGCGCCACCCTGTGTTTCGAAGGCTTCCGCATTCCCAAGCCCAAGTATCTCCATTGAAGCTCGCGGCCTCCATCCATCCATCCATTCGTGCCCGTGGCCACTCGTTGGTGCTTCCACCTAACATAACCCAGAACGACGGCCTGCCAGCGAGCACTGTAGTGATAGGGGGCTTTACGTTATGAGTTGCTGGCCAGATCATGTCTTGAGCATGCCAATGCGAAATACAATGCCAGTACTTCTCCCTCTATCTACGCCAACCACAGTATAGTTGCAGCGGATTACTGTGGAACCCGGGGATCGACGGGAGATATTCCAGCGATAATGCTCGCCTTCTCTCCTGGAGAGCTTTCGACGATGGCCGGGCCTCTCCATGATACGCTCCACCCAGCGACGAGTCAGTTCAATTTCGCCGATTTGCCTTGCCCTCCACAGAGCGTAATGGTGAGTCCTACACACTCATTGCGTCACCGCGGTGGCTCGCTAACGTAAAATCGTTCAGGAAGCGAACTGGTACAAACCAGCGCCTGACGAACCGTACCGCCCCCTCATCGCCATACCTAGCAAAGTCTTGGAGATAGACCCCTGGTTTGAAAAATTGTACAGCATTATGGTTTACGGCGTACGACCCACCAAGCGCTCTGAGACCAGCAACAGCACTTGCGCCTATCGTCATTGCCAAAGGTCCTCAAAGCCCTCCGGTGGTGCCGATACCCAGTCCCACTCATGACCCTGGAGCCAGAAAGACTGCCGTAGGCAACGAGCAGATACCTACACCTACGCAAGGTCAGAGTTCGCTTTTGCCGGAGAAGACAACAGACCCAAAGCTAGGTCTTGGCCAAAGTGGATCCGGTAGCGACTCTAATGATCAGGGTGGCACTGGTGAGGAATCTGACCAAGGAGCGGATCCAAGCCAGCGGAGTAACCCAAAGCGACCGAAAAACGCAGCGGGAAACAGTGGAGATCCCGGACTAGTGACAGACCCCAGCTTACCGAATGATCCAAAGCAATCGAGTAAGGTATTGGGAGGCAATGGAGATCCTGCGCCAGGCACGAACCCCATCCTGCCAAATGACCCAAAGCAGCCCAATGATGCAAAGGGCGGCAGTGGAGATAGTGGAGAAGTAAACTCTTCGAGCAGCCCAAGTGATCCAATCTTAGACTCATCTGCGACCACAATATCAGTTGGTGACCACAATGTGGTCGCCGGCACTTCTGGGGTCCAAGTCGATGGTGTGCAAGTCAAAATTGTAGGGCCTCCAGCGACAATCTCTGGAGTCGTTGCTATCAATCAAGGTAACAGCATCGTGATTGCCCACCAGATTGTACCCCTGTCTACTCCGGCTGCTCCTGCCACAACAATCGCTAGTCATGCAATTACCCCTCTTGCCGACGGCGTCTCGGTCGACGGCGCTGTGATTACTGCTGGCGCAGCTGCCGTCGCTATTGCCGGTACGTCAGTCTCTGTCGATTCATCGAGTCACCTCTATCTGGGAGGAGCTCCTTACCTCCTTCCTACGGCGAACCCTGCCTCGCCAACGACGCGATGGAGCAGTCGCAGTTCAGCTTGCAAACGGAGTCTCAATCTATGGTATAACATTGACTGCTGGTGCTCCTGGTAGTCTCTGTCTTAGGTACGGTAGTCTCCCTTGACCCATCCTTTAATCTTATCTGGGGTGGCACCGCTCAAGCTCTGCCGTCTCCGACTCTTCTGCCTCTTATTGGGGGTCAGGTCACTACAATTGATGGCCAAGTCGTCCACCCTCTTTCTGATGGCATTTTAATTGCCGGTATAATTCTGACTGCAGATTTTCCTCCAATCTTTGTATCCGGCACCCGTGTATCCCACGGCGCATCTGCTCTCGTTATAGGCACCAGCACAATTGCTATCCACCTATATTCGCTGCGCACAATAGCAGGCCAAGTAACGACAATAGCCGGCGAAGCCGTCCAGCGGCTCTAATGGCATTTCCGTCGCCGGTACGAGTCTTACACCGGGTGCGCCGCCTATCACCGTGTCCGGCACCCCCATATCGCTTGGCTCCGTAGCCCTCATGGTAGGCAGCAGCACTGTTTCACTGCCAGCTGAGGAGACAACGCCATTCATTACCACAGTCGCCGGCAAGGCCGTCACCGCCGCTCCAAATGGTGTCGAGGTCGCAGGCTCTACCCTGTCTTCAGGGGCTCCAGGCGTGACCGTCGGCGGAATTCCAGTATCCCTGGATCCAGCTGGTGAGTTAGTGGTTGGCTCGAAAACCACAGCACTTGACGGTCCGAGGGGAGGGGGGTCGGGTGGCTTTATATTGGAGGTTTTGGGTCAAGGGGACCCTTTCCGTCGCCAGAATCTCCGTTGGTCCCAGGAACCAACACGACTCCGGGTTCGGGAAACGGTACAGCTTTCGGTGTGCAACCGTTCCCAGGAAACGCACGTGGTTTCATGAACTATATGCCAGGAAAGCTGTTAACGGCAGTAATGATTGCTATTACAGCGCTTCTTTGTGGGGCGAGATGAGTCGAATGGAGTGAATTGACTTCTGGGAAGTTGTACAATTTACGAATATGTCAATGATTGAATTAAAGAAAGGATCACTCTGGAAGCGGCAGCTAAAGATCCTGTACATGCACCAAATGTGAGGAGGGCCACAAGTGTGAGCATGATGATCGCTGCATTTGTCGATTGCGTTGCCCAAGCCAATTTCTCAATAGCCGGGAACTGGTCGGTCGATATGGCGTCAATGCTCACGTCGCGAGTGTAAAGCCAGTGGTATCCTAAACACAAGCGCGCCGTTAATGACGACACTAGCTACCATAGCACGTGGGACATTGATGGATACGCTTTGAGTCTTCCGACATCTGCAGGGTTTGGATAAGCACTGCAGGATTCGCCTCCAGGGCGGGTAATGACAGTTCTTAGTCCTTGGGCTAGTATGGTCGAAAATTGACACGGTGGAGCTAAATCAAGAAACGCCGCTGCATTGCTATCGAATCCAAAAAGTGGCTAGTATGTTTGTGCTCCAACGCCTTCGTTTAACAAGGTAGCAAAGACTTTGTCCGCTGCCACGTGCGGACTTGGACTCATAACCGACAACAAGGCAGCGAGAAATCCTAGGATATGGAGCATAAGGATGAGAACACCTATGATTGGCAGTGCGGGCCTCAAGATAATCTTGAATCCCACGCAAGATGGTAACAATCCCCAATGAATGAGTGTTCCTTGCCACCTTTCCGGGGACTAGTTTTCCTGGGTCTCGGCAGCTAGATTCTGGATCAGACTACTGACACCAAGAGATGTCGCTGCGCAAGTTACCATCCAGCCCGCTACCGTGAGCCACCCTAATATAATTGAGATGATGGTCAGGTAATCGAGGTTCTGACAGCCATACCGGTGACGTGACTCGGGTATCATTGAAGCCGAGGACGCGAAAGGAAGCTGACGCAGTGATATTGTATACCCGCGGTCGGTGGCATAGAGGACAGTTTGCCAATGACGATGAATACGGAGAGGGTGCCTGTTCAGCCGAACATCAAGCTGTAAAGTGTAGACCAAACCCGCAGGCCCTCCGCTGTGCACGATAAAAGATGAGCATGGAATACTTCTCTTCCGTTTGCAGGAAGGCGCAGTTTTTTTCCTCTGGATGTAGTGCAAACGCATACCCACTTTTGGTATCCAATACGGAAGTCTCTGTTGTGGTTGTGAGTCGTTTTCTGCAAATCATGGGGAATAGGAGGCCTACACTATGATTGCCTCCCAAGTAGACATCAGACCACAAGGAAAACATATCATACTGAGCAAGATGAAGTTCTTCTGTCCCAAAGCAGCTTCTTGGAGGAGTTCATCAGCTCAATTAAAGTCACTTGCCTTCGGAACCTGTTTCTTTCCGACTCTCAATAGAGCAGCGGGATCCGCATCCATGTTAGCGGGGTTGGCAGGTGCAGCACCACCATTTACGCCGATGGAGCTAAAGCCAGCAATGGTGTACATCTCTTGCTCGAGTTCCACGTTGGACTGGACTGACCGGTAAGAGATTGGAGAGGTATGTGCTGCTGGAGACTGGTCTCCTTTTGGAAAGGAAGACACTTAGATATATGTAGCGTCACGAGTCGGATAGACATTTAAGCTGATAACGCGCAAGGAAATGACACATTGATACACATGATGGAATACGTGAATCACACCGACAAAGGGGAAAGGGAGTTGTCAGGGCCTTGGCAAGGCCCAAGGATACTTGCCTTGAACTGGATGTCATTCGACTCTTGGACGCACGAGGATCCAATGTATTAAAGTTCCAAGTTGCGACGGGAAAACACCCCCTCTTTCTGTTCATCTGCGCACGTTTCTGTGGGTATCGGCCAGAACGAATCGGCTCTTCCCGTCAAAGGAGCATTAAGAACAATTCATGCCAATTTTGCAGTGATGTCCCAAAAAATATGAAGAGGTATAGCATATAACAAGATGGAAGCTGCAAAGAAATGTACGGGAAGGCTCCGCATCAAATGGATGGGTTCGATATTACTCCGAGCGAGCTACTCATACAACAGTAGTCTAGACGAGAGAGGCGAGAGAGGTTGATATCTGCTATAGTGGTATCTGGTCTGCCGTACTCCGGCCGTCAGATGGAATAATTCCGCACTGGTGGCACTGAGTCTATGAGCAGTACAACAATCGCTCAAATCCAACAAACGCACCTCTCCTTGTAAATTCTGTGATAGCGGATCCAAAACACCAGTATGGTAACAAAAGATTGGTTGGAAGATTCGTCCGCGGAAATGACCTTGTCAATTACCCTCCGAGTACGCACACGGATCTAAAGCCTGCACGCAAACCGAGACAAACCATTGCGCTTAGGAATAGCGGGCAGAGTGGGAAGCTGCATTGCTCCCTGTTGAGCTCGAATGATTTCAAGACCAGGGGATGATGATTGGGACTTCGGGCCTGTCTTCGATCTCATCCATTCCCTGTCCATCAGTGGCGGAGAAAATGCACATCAGAAGACAATCTCCAGTGACACAGACTCCAACCCACCAGAACAAGCAACGTGTACTGCTGCAGCCAAGGTGCACGACCAAGAAACACAGCTTGGAGATTTTGACAAAATCTGGCAATACCTTGGCCAACCTCTAGATCTGCCGGCGCCCCCAGTCACGACTGGACCTTCGCCCAGCTTGATCGACATCTGTAGCGGAAAGGCTGCCAGCGAACAGCGTTTACTCAAAGTAGTGAGATGGCAGGATGATGTCGAGTGCGCGAACCTCGCAGGCAATGATGAGAACAACGGCATTCCAGCCTTGTCGAAATTGAATAAGCAGCAGAGAAAGAAGGCGCGGAGAAAGCAGAGGCATGAGGGAGAAGCCTTGGCTACACAGCTCACAAATAGTAAAACCCTCCCAAGCGGCAGTGAAGATGAGTCAGGGAAAGATGCACATGAGCAGAAAATCCCAGACAGGAGCGGTGTCATCTACCAATTTCTCCACGGGACTCCTCCGTCTAACGGCACTGGCCGATTGCGGTCTGGAAAGCTTTTCAGGAGTCGGGATTCTGATGACGCCGGAGCCTTACCTGCCGCCGCCTCGCCATTGCCCCAACAAGCCATACAAGTCTTGAAGCCCGTCAGAGAAACTACGCTTGAAGTTGCAGCAACGAAGAAGAAGAAGTTGATGTCAATGCTTAGCGAGAAATTTATAGACGACAGAAAGTATCTCAGAAATCTGTCATTCGCAAGGAACGTTGCTAGCAGCACAGATGCCGCTGCAGAAGGCATCCATGTCTTTGTTGACGCATCGAACGTAGGCGATATCCACCCAGCCCAGCCATTATTTCGCCGCTAACAAACATCCGAACAGATAATGATAGGTTTCCACGACGCCCTCAAAATGGCTCGTGGCCAAAATATTGCCCATCGCATCCGCCGCCAACCCCTCTCCTTCCACAACCTCTCCTTAATCCTCGAACGCGGCCGCCCCACCGCCAAACTCATCGTCGTCGGCTCCGACAACTTCCCCGCTATGGTGGAAGCGAAGCAAATCGGCTATGAAACAAACATATTGGACAGAGTACATAAAGCGAAGGAATTGACTCCTCGCCAGAAGAGATATTCGAATTCAAATGGGAATAGTGGCCCCGGAGGTGGGCAATCAGGCACAGGCAGTGGCTCAGAAACGACCGCTGCCGTGCAGTATGCACCAGAGAAGTGGGTGGAGCAGGCAGTCGATGAGATTCTGCATCTGAAAATGATGGAGAGTGTTGTTGACGCCGAAGAACCCTCGACGATGGTGCTTGCAACCGGAGATGCAGCTGAGGCTGAGTACTCTGGAGGCTTTTTGAAGATGGTGGAAAGGGCGCTGGCGAAAGGGTGGAAGATCGAGCTGGCGAGCTTTAAGCACAACACTAGTGGGGCTTATAAGAGGAGGGAATTTAGGCAGAAGTGGGGGGAGAGGTTCAAGATCGTGGAGCTGGATGATTTTGTAGAGGTGTTATTGGGGAATGAATGAGGGATGGTGTTGCCTTTTGTCTTGCTTTACAACTGTTCGACGTCTTGAACGTCTTTTCATATTTGCCTGAGGTACGGAAAGGATTGTCTGCGAACGAGCGTACATTGATCTCGAGGGATCACACCATGCTCACTAAAATTTGTTTGCGCAAATGGAAGCGTCCTTTCCATTGTTTCTCCCGACTTGAAGGGCTGCAAGAATACATTTGCTTCTGTTTGGAAGCCATTCGTCATAAAAAGGGTTTACGATAGGCATCTTGCACAGATACTGTTCTCGTGCCTGTGTACCTTCCGACTGGAAGGGCCACTACCATTTTGCAAGACCGCGAGAACGTGTGGGAGAAGATTGATTGATACATAGTACACGGATCAAGCTCGATAGGACTATGAGCTCGATGAGTTTCGGGCTCAAAGAATTCATGAGAGTGATACTGTAGAGTCTGCAATCATTGACTTTGTGTAGTATACAAGCATAGGGAGACAGCTGGTGCAAAATGATGTAGCTATACGCCGGCGAGCAAAAGCAAGGCTTGGTAGCAGCCAGCAGGCTGGCTTCGTACTCTCGAACGGAATAAAAGCTTGCGCAATCCTTCTGAAATAATCCTTAACTCATTTTGCCTCCTGAGTACATCCAGCATCAAGTTTTGGAGGCCAATTTTTACCCTCGAAGATGAAGCCATCAAGCAACCCCCCAGTCGACCCTCAAGAGTGTCGTCAACATCGTCCGCATGATTGTTCCTTGTACACAGACCACCAATCCTGATACACTTTAATGCTTTCCTTCCCCACATGCCTGCAAAGACCTTTTTCCAAAGCCGGACTGCAGAATGATCATTTTCCTCGTGATATCCTCCAATGTTTCGCTTCGTCTTTCAGTGAAGCCATTGAGCTCATCGTGACCTGCACTCATAGCCGAGATGATTACGTGTCTGAGGTTGGACCAGCGAGTGATGCCGGATGCGTGATAAAATGTGGGAAGACAATTGTTGAAGGAGGCGACGAAGATGGGATGTTCCTTATTGTCAGCTGACAGAGAGACCGGACCGACAGTAGAGGTCCAGCGACCAGCAACCCAGACATGCAGCGGAATCAAGGTTTGGCCCCATGCAGACAGAATTGGGGGTTGAAGGAAACTTGGCAATGGCACTAAACGGTGCAATATTTACGCAAGCACAACTGAAACCACACCCCAAGTCAGCAGCAAACCCATTGTCAGATCTTCGTAACATCATCCATCATCTGATCATCGTAACATCGTTGCCCTCATCTTCCCCATTTGCACAAATCGTCCACTACTGCCTATTTACCCCAACAGTACCCTTGGACTTATCACCACTGTTCGAGTATCAGAAAATTGGGATTTTGCAGAGTATCTTTGCAGCCCTCACCCTTTCTTGCCCGTGCTATCTATGTTCTTTTCCTTCATAGCCTGAGCGCTGGACTTCATCGAATCACCACTAAGGACGAAGTCAGGCATTGCAATGCCATGGTCTTGCACGGAAGTCTACCGTGCAGGACGGTCTGCACCATCAACAACACTCTTTTTGAGCTCCTGCAGCGTGGATTTGAGATGGGAACTCGGACCCATGTCTTGCTTAGCGCCTACGATGAGTCAGCAAACGCTAGGGTCTGGGCAGCCGTGTGGATAGCGTACGTGATGAGGCCATGCTCGATAATGTGGTACGCTCTTGGACTTTCTGTCACTTGAATTGATCATTCGTGGAAACCAAATGGATGTTCAGGCTCCAGCGGAAACTGAAGTTGAAGCAAGACCCACTCGTATACGCGGCATGACGCAGGTGTCGCTTGATTTCGCTCGTCTAGGCAGCTGAAAAGCGCAAGCAACCATTGGTGCAATCCTCAATGCAAGTCATCGTGGCAGGATCTCGATTACCTGCCTAGAGATTACACCACTTGCATCGAGTACTATAATGGTATCATCCAGTCAAGGGAGACCTTCAAGACTGGACAGCAGCAAGGGAAGACACCGAGAGACTTGTGATCAATTCGCTGCCTAATCCCAGTGCTCCTCGAGTTTGAACATCAACTCTTCTAGCAGCTGCATGCTAGCACCCCTGGCGTCAGCCTCATTTTCCAACACTGCTCAAGGAGTCGGTCATCTGGACGTCAGTCTTGCCCAGAGCCAAAATATGAGCGTCAATCGTTTCTCGATATAAGATACCAGCTTTCCTGGACTGTGGGGCCATCATGCAAACACCCAACGCTCCTCAAGCTGTACTCAAGATGTCGAGCACCACTACCAACAATACCTGCATCATCTACGGCACCGGCTGCGCTTCTCCTACCAACCTACCGTCCTATATCGACGATCAAGCCTGCCTCTGCGGCCTCCTTGAGTCTCGCTCGTCACTGCCTAACAACGGCGAGCACATTGAGCTCTGGCGCTGTATTGGGAACGCATCGGATAACGTTGAAGATGGCGGGAATGGCAAGTGGTACAATACCAGTCTTCCGAGTCAAGAGCTATCGGGCATCAACCAGCCTCAGAACTGGTAAGACTTCTCTAGCCCCGAATCTTTTCAGTGTTCTCAAAAGCCCCGATACATGTGCCGGGAGTCCCCTACATCAAACACATGTTTCATGACTCCAATCTCTGTCTCTAAAAAGTAACTGCTAATTGGAAAATGCCATCAGGGGTGAGAATCCGCCAGACTTGAGTCAAGCATACGTGCTCCAGGACGAGAATGGTCAAGCCGTGTATGAGGAATTGGGATCGGCAGGCTCAATCAACTTGATCGGTTCGGATAAGGATTGCACTGGGATCAACGATACATCTATGTCTGAACAGTATTATGCAAGAGGAAACGGTGTTCCGAAGTCGTCGTCCACGAGTACCTCTCTGATGCCGACAGCACAGTCTGCGACCAAGACATCTGCCACGGAATCTACAATGCAAACTGCATCGCCCTCAGCGGCCGCTGCACCACCAAAAGGGGACAACAAATCGTCCGCCATACATCAGGTTTCTCTGAAGTCTACATTTCTTTTGGGAATGGTCCTTGCACCACTACTGTTTGGGCTACCAGTGTAATCGGTCGAAACCCGTCAAGCTGCTTTACGGCTTAAGAAAGAGCCAGAGACCAGCAAGTCATTTGAAATCACCTTAGCGAGTTGTGAACCGGAAAATAATGTGCTCTTGAAGGACATGGCTGCGTTCGCATCGGAGTCTCCGTGTCAAACCATTTGGGATTCGATAGCGTTTACGAGGCACGCGAAGACCACTCAACGCGTCTCTCAGCCTGCAGACTTCAGTGCTTTTCATTTCGCTCTGGCATACGGGGCCTCTACAGGCAATGTTTGACGGCTTAAATTAAACGGTCTGTGTTTCATAATAGATGGACGCCTGCGCATTCACATCATTTTTACAATGCTGTCTACGCGTCTGTTTTGGCCGGAGTCTAGGCCCAACGACATCTGCCGCTTGTTCTTCCGACGAAATGGAGGAAGAATTAATTGGTGCGGATGGTGCTTTTTTGCCCAAAAAAACCCCCCCAAAAGATGCAAGCTGCTATGATCATCATTGCCAGATCCTTCTAGAAGGCCTATTCTATATTAGCTACTAACCCTTTGAATTATTGGTGTTTGCTAATCAATGATATACGAGGCAATAATGCATGTTACTCCTTCTGGCTTTTAAGCGCCCTTACAGGGAATTTTCGATAGAGGATGCAAGGCATTGGAGAAGGCAAAGATGTCCCCTTGAGCCAATAGGAGGCATTCCCGTGAATGCGGGTACGAGAATAACAAGAAACGGTTTGTTGCCAACTTTTTGAATTCTGCATATCTGCATGTGTCAACTGTCAAAACCATTTCCAAAAGATGCAAGCTCCAGAAGATGACCAGATGGACAGCGAATGGTGCGCACTTGCGACTTCATACTGAATTGTGTTTGGATCGGCTCACCTTTGCTGCCCATTCAGTTGATCGCGCGCGACAAACGCCACTTGTTTCGCCTATCTGTACCAACTAAATTGGGCTACGACAAAGTGTCATCGTGCAGCAACAGAACGCTACTCTGAAAGGACCCACCAATAAATCGCAAATCCACCCTGTCCACCACGCGAGACGTCGTCGTACTTTATGCCAGTCTGGAAGCAATCTGTCCTCGCAGCATCTTGCCATCAGATTTGGCTTTGGCCATCGTTATGCGCGATATCTGCGAGCCAGAAAATTCTCTACAGAAGTAAGGGGCTACGAAAAAGACCGAGTGCCGCATCTCTCGCTACTGCTCATACCACTCTCAACCTTCCATTGATCCCTGCAGCGATACCAAAAAGATAAATAATGAGTTGAAATGGTTACCCGATACGCTCTACCCCACTGCTTGCTCGATCTGTGCATGTTCAACACGTTAGGCATAGACCTTCTATGGCCCCCTAAGCTCAACGTTCAGTCTTTGACCTTCAGTCTCTACCCTCATTTCATTACGCCTACGACGACATGCCAGAACCCACTCCCACGCAAGCGTCCTGCAATGAGAACCAAGGGCCTATGCTCCTGGCTTTGAGCTGGGTTCTTCTATGTACTGCTATCAGTTCCGTGGCGCTACGGTTGTATGTCAAGCTGGGTCTCCAAAACGGCGTCAGATCAGACGATTATACTATAATAGCCAGCTTGGTCAGTCAAAACTTTACAACAGCAGCTTTTGGGTCTGCACTGACTGTCTTCCAGATTGCCGGGATCATCGGAGTTGGCTGCCTGACTAAGTTCGTTCTCATAGGCTTGGGAAGACATATATACTGCCTGCCTCTCGAACAGATCCCTCTGGTGCTGAAATGGAGCGTCATCTCACAGATATTCAACATCATCGGGATCGGCCTGGCCAAGATATCGGTGTGTCTCTGCGTCTTACGGATCATTGGCCGCACTCGACAGCAACTTGCGACGTTCCTCTGGGTGGTCATCGCTTTTTGTGCAGCTAGTCACTTCGCACAGATCGTGCTTTTTCTTGTGCAATGCCGGCCAATGGCCGCGATCTGGGACCCTCACATCCAGGGAAAATGCTTTTCTCCTCACATCACCTACCTAGCGGGCTACATAGGGTTCGGACTTGACGCCTTCACCGATCTCGTCTGCGCTGCTATCCCAATCTTCGTACTACACCGGCTGCAGATGAATGTGCGCACGAAAGTCGCTCTATGCTGCCTCATCGCCCTCGGCTCTCTTACGGCAGGCTGCGCGATAGCGAAAGCAGTCACGCTGAGGGGTGTCTTCTCTGACGACTATACGTGGGGACTCTGGAAACCCGCGGTTTGCACAATCGTCGAGCACTTGACATCCATAACACTAGTCTCCTTACCGGCCCTCAGACCCTTCTTCAACAAGATTCTCGACGCTGCTACCACACGGGGAGGCTCGGGCAAGCGATCAGTCAAACACAGCCCTCGATGGAGTCCTGCTGTTTCAAGGGACATATACGCGCTTGACACATCACTCAAGAGCGAGGACCTTGAGCAAGGCTCAATGCCGTTCAATGAGAACGAAATCGTCCGGACGACAGAGTTCCGCTTGAGTGAGCACAATTCTGAAAGTGGTGAACAACGCATGGGTGACTACTGGCCTTTGCCGCCTTGACCTGATCAGAGTACCAGGACACTGCGACGTGAGAGCCAGGCAGCAGTGGTCAGATCTGCAATTGTCAGGGATGGCTCGGATTTGGCGCATAGATCTGGGTGCGTGCATTCCGCTCTCAGACCGAGATGAGGTTGCATATCCCACGCGTGGTTGAAGGCCGGTGGACGGAAAGTTTCAGGGCGTTGGGCACGGTACCCGTTTTTCTCAATGTACCTATCTACCAACATTTGACAATCCGTTAATCCCCCCATCTCCACAAAAAAAAAAAACATCAGAGAATCTTCCGGACCTATCACCTCCCGTCCTTTCTCCCCCCCGCCAAATCATCATCCATGTCCATTTTCGCACCACCATTCTACCCCCCCCGACCGACGCTCAGACCCTCCCAACCAAACTCCCAGCCTCCCCTGCCCCCCACGGGCCCCCCTCGTCTCACCCCACACTACGGCCTACTCGCCCCCTCTCCCGTTCCCCAAACCCCACCCCACCCCACCTCCCCAGTACCCAGACCCCCAGCGCCGCCATCGCCAACGCGAGAACCCACCACGCCACCACGTTGCCAGCGGGTCCCCCTACACCCCGCTGCCCCCTTCTCCTCCCGACGGCCGCGCAGCGAAAGAGACGGAGGCGCAGCGGGGCGGGGCCGGGCGGGGCTCCTTGACGGCTGGATGCGCGAGATGGGGAAGGGGGCGGGTGGGCGGGCGGCTTGAGGGAGGGAGGGAGGGAGAGAGGGGTACGGGGCGGATTAGGGGGGGGTTAGAGAGAGGAGGGTGGGGTGGGGTGGGGAGGTTTTGGAGAGATAAAAGGTAGGGTGAGGATGTGTTGGGGGAGATGGCAGAGAGGGGATTCGGGAAGGAAGACGGTGTGTGGCGGGAGAGGAATAAATGCTTGGGCGAAGGGTTGCAGGAGGGTCGGCGTTGGGGAGCTTTTGTGCTATATGATAGTACGACTGGTAGGAGATCTGTTCTATACTCGCTCTTGCTCATGCTCGTAGACGATACAAGAGGAAAGAGCATTCGCTTGCGACCATCGAAGCGATCATCCCAATCTATCATGCTCGTTGAGACCCAGAATGCAGCAACGCTGAAGCCTACCGATCCCAGCCCGCTAATATGCATCCCATAGGACCCCAAAGCCATCCATGCTCCCGTGCCAATTCCGTCTCAATGACTGATGTATTGGAACACAGCACTGACAGCCTTGTCCGCTGTTTCCTGCCTCAGCAGCAAGTCCTGGATCTTTGCCAGCGGTCCTGCCTCCCCATCGTTGACAAAGTGATTCCAACTGCTCGTGTCTCCGTACAGCATTGCCGGGGCTTTGAGGTGCTGTTTGCCATCAGGCTTGCATCGCTTGCACTTGAAACTGTCGTGCGTATCGCTTGTAGTGCCCGGCTTGTACTGGAACAGTTCGCGCAGGGAGTCGAGGGTGAAATGCCTCTCGACGTCCTCGGCGGAGTCGACGACGCAGGAGGATAGAGATTGCTTGTGAGATTGGCGCTGGAAGATCTTCTCTTCGATGGTACCTGTAGCTATGAAGCGGTAAACGAAACAATCCTTCTTCTGGCCATCACGCCAGACACGAGCCAGTGCTTGCTGGTCAGCTGCCGGATTCCAGTCAGGATCGAAGAGGACGAGTCGATTGGCGCCGATGAGATTAAGACCACAGCCACCGGCCTTGCTGCTGAGCAGGAAGACGAATTCCTCGCCTTCCGGGTCGTTGAACTTATCGACAAGCTTCTGCCGCTTGTTGACGTTCATGGTGCCATCGAGGCGAAGAACTCCATAGTTGCGAGAGCGGCAGAGCTTGTCGAAAATGTCAAGGGTCTGGGTGTAATTGCTAATGAGGACGATCTTATCATTGGTGTCTTGCCTTATCCGGGCAAGCATGCGATCGAGGACTTGCATCTTACCAGAGTACCACGACTTGATGTCTCGGTCTCTGCCTCTTGCGTCTTTGGGGACGTAGTCATCTGGGAAATACTGTTCGCAGCCAGGAAGATCGTCGGGTAAGTTGAGCAGGTCTGGATGATTGCATAACTTTTTGAGCATGCCGATTGCCTTCAGCGGCTGACTGCCTTTTCCTCTCAGAAGGCTCTTAATGTCCGGGCTTTGGATGAAATGGTTGTACAGATCCAGCTGGAAGGGCGCGAGGTTGCAGAAGACGACATGTTCGTACTTGACGGGTAGGTACTTGGAGAGAATGTCATTTGTTCGCCGAATGATGAACTTATTGACAAGTGCCAATAGCTCCGCCAGACGTTCATTACCCTTCTTTTGGTCTGCGTCCGTCCCTGCAGCATCACGGCCTCGAAGGATAGGCAGTTCGTACTGCTTGCGGAACTCCATACGCGTGCCAAGTAGACTTGGGTTGGCAAAGTTCAGCAAGGAGAAATACTCTGATAGATCATTTTGAATCGGTGTTCCAGAAAGAATGACTCGTCGCGAAACGTTGAGTCCGTTCAGTGCTTCGAAAGTCTGAGACTCTCCGTTCTTCAGACGATGTCCTTCGTCGCAGAGCAGAAGTCCGATTGGCGTATTGCTCAACTCGCCCACATTCAGTCGCAGCGTCTCATAAGACACGATGAGTACAGGGCGCACCACGGCTCGCCCACTGGCAACCGACCACTGCCTAAGCTGCGTGGTAAGCTCGTCTTTGGAGGCCTTCCCATCTACCGCAAACGGTGTCACGGCGTCTTTCCCAAGCCATTTGATGAGCTCGTTCGCCCAATTGCGTACAAGACTTGAAGGGCATGCTATGACGCACTTTTGAATCGTAGACTTGCCAGGCTCTGGTGATTGCTTCAGTAGGGTCCACATCAACGCAATGCATTGTAGTGTCTTTCCCAAGCCCATCTCGTCTGCCATAATACAGCCATTCGCCTTTGTATCTATGAGCCCAGTAACGCATCGGTAGAGAAACTTGACCCCCTCCACCTGATGGGGCCTCAGAACTTTCGCTAGCCTTGGATCAATGACCACAGGGACCTTTGGGTGTTCTTCAACCTCCTTCTTCAATCCCAGTATATCGGCCAAACTCCTGTGCATGATTGGGACATCCAGCTTCGGGATGTTTCCTTCCTGACTTTGTCTTACCTCCTCTTCAACCGTGGTAGGCTTGTCATCGATTGTAGGATCGAATAGCACAATGGCGAACTCTCCGCTAGGATCATGCAGTGGTTTGGCCACAAACACTGCTCCCTTCCGCATTCCCAATGTAGGCGCTGGGCGATATGAATTGTAGCCTCCAGCATCCTTATTGATCAATGGCACTGCAAACCGTTGACGAAACAGCGTACCCTTGTCCTTCACTTTGAACACTGGGAACTTGTTGACATCTCTGTTCGCCAATGCGAGGCGGTCTTCGTTTGTGTAAGGCTTTTCTCCATCCTCAACAGTACCATCTGCGTCCGCGTAGCTGACTTTTCTCTTCTTCCTGACCGGTTTTTCTGACGCACGAGTTGGTGTGGCACTACCGGGGCATCTGAAAGGCTTGATGAGGCGGTCTATGGATTGCGGTCCGCCGCCATAGAGTCTCGACGCTTTCTGTGATACTGGAGTGTTCTCCTTGTCGGTTGAGGGATCTAAGAGCTTGGGTCGATGCATTGTGGACTGATGGTTGATGGAGGGTCCGATTTGCCTCAGACACGCGTCATGAACATGGCGCTAGATACGCGATGGCACGTGATCTAAAATGCTTCTCTCTCAACTCAGTGAATTTGTTGGTATCACGGTTTGTATTCTAGAGAGATCTCAGAAGTACGTGCGAGATTAATGAGATTCTTTGTTGGCCAAAGTTTTCCAGTGGGCTCTGAGATAACTGGAGGCTTCTTCAACTTGCACTTTCTACTGCTGCACACGACTAAATGTCTCATATATTCCTTATTCCATCAAAAAGGGCCACTCCGGATGTGACCAAAATCAAAGATCCTTGGCTGCATTGGTACAGTATAGCAGTCTTCAGCTCTTTTTCAAGAAAACGTCTGCTTTTCGTTTCAATATCTGCTTTACGAGTCCTTTTGCTGGCTTTCATGTGCCGAACGGCATGGACGACCATGATAGCTCTCTTAACATGAAGCAAGTACCATTAGCTAGGTCAGCCCTTCTCCACCAGCGTAGCCTCTATGCTACCAAAAGCACATGGAATCCATCGCTTCAAAGATCGCCCAATCCTCGTCCTCTCGAGCAGACGAGCATCAACAATCCAGTATCATGTCCTCCTTTCGATCCCAACCCCGACAATTGCAGCTCAATGAATAGGTTAAGATCAGCCGAACAAGAATGGATAACACATCAATCAACAAGACGTCAGGGGGATTCGCGCAGTCCGATGCCGAGCACGCACAGCCGAACTGTGAGCGTCGTCGAGCGACTGGCGAGAAGGCAGTGACGGAGGTAGGACCTGACGAAGGTCAGCGACCGTCGTACCTCCTTCCCACTGTATACAGAATCTCAGACATTCAACGAAATTCCCTCAGACCTCAACTGCACCTGCCGTGGCAACTGCACCAAATCGCAGCGAACGGGGCAGCTCCTGCTTTCCCTCTTGTCCATGCAACGCTTCGGACGCCTGCGAAAAACCAGTCAAAGACCTCCGCATATTACTCGGCCCAGACCACTCCGACTTCTATGCCAACGCCTGCTTCACCAAGTACTGCATCGAGCATCACGGACCCATCGACCTCGAGCGCCTTTGTTGCCGCCTCATGGACGTGAAGCTGGGCGTTGTGGAAGCCCCTTCCTGCTTTCCCGCCTTCCCGAAGGCGACGACTTTCGTGACGAGAACACTGTGGCACCCTTCCAGAGTGGAAGCACCGAAGGTAGCGCGGCTTCAACGGTGGGGAAGAGCGTAAAGCGCATAGGCAGGCTTTGTTCCGGTACGGCTTGTCTAAAGATGGCGATGCGAACGGTTGGTATTACTCATTCTGCGATGAGATTGTAGAACGAGAGTGATCGCCAGTGGCCCCGTCGCGGATGTGGAGAGTATAATGGGTGGGGGAGCTAGCGTGGCCGGAAATGCGAGGGTTGTACTGAGGGTGTGCTCAGCCCCTGTGAGGGATTCTGGAGGGGTCACGGAGAGGTACAATGAGTATCGTAGAAGAGAGTAATTGGGTAAGAGCGTGAGAAAGAAACCGAGCTTCAGGAGAATGGCGATTGCTGCTCCTGGAAGGGGGCCAGCCTCTCGGCACGATCTCCCTTTTTAACGCTGGTCTCGAGGGATAAGGTACCATGGATGGGTTAGTCTCGGTACAAGTACAATCGCCATAAATCATTTGGAGGCTTCTACAAAATTCGAGTCTATCATGACATACGCAGACATAGAAACCTAGTTAGGATTATTACTTTGTATCTGCACAGCAGGTGGTACTGTTCCATTCGGAGTTGAGGAGGTCCTATCTACGGGAAAGACTGGCATGCGGATGATATTAAAGTACAATCAGAGAAAGTATCGAGGCCCAGACATCTTCCGCCATTACTGATCCCATGCTTTTAATGAGCGCATGCGTTTTTTAGGAGACCCGGCCCTTGTAAAGGTCCTATGCTTTTGGATGTGAGACTGATTCCACGAGCTGAAATGCCAACCACACGCACCCACACGCACGCAAAGACTTGAAATCATTACATGATCTGATCTTGGGTCATGCCCCCAGTCTGCTCTGTGCCCTCCATTGCATCGCCCGGATTCTGATATTTGACGAAGGTCAGGCCGAGAGGACGTCCGCCGTACTGGTATCCTGTGAACTTGGCTAAGACAAAGTCAGCAATTTCCTCCGTGCATAATGGGAAGCAGCGTACAAATAGCAGTTTCGGCATTCTCAGGTGAATCGAATTGGACAACGCCGGTGCCTCGGGAACGGCCATTGGGCTCATACTGGATCTCTGCACGCTCGACTTTTCCAATAGTTGTGAAAAGTTCTACTAGATCTTCGTTGCTGGTGGACCATGGCAGCTGTAATTATGAGCAAAATGATTAGGGCTTTGGGAGTGGGAACGAAGACGCACATTTCGAACATAGATGAGCTCGCTCATTTCTCCTCCAGATGTAGCGTAGTCGGTAAAGGCGTTCGGTGCCGCAGCGGCAGCGCCAGGAGCAGCAGCGTCATTGAAACTGCCAGCAGGCGGACCACCATAGCCACTTCCTCCACCTCCGTAGCCACCACGTCCACCGTAGCCTCCTCCAAAGCCACCTCGACCACCAGCAAAGCCGCCTCGGAACCCTCCACGTCCCATGCCACCTCCAAATCCGCCACGACCTTGGTAACCGCCACCGGGTGGACCAGCAAACCTGTCCTCACGGACCTCCAACATGCGGCCTTGCCAGTCATAGCCATTGAATTGGTTGATCGCATTACGCGCGTCCTCGGCGGTCTCGAATGCAACGATACCGGAGCCTTTGGGGCGACCATCTGGGCCTAGATGGACGTCGGCACGGATGACGGCACCTTGCTGGGCTGCGGAATCACTTGTCAATTACAGCCCTGCGAACGGAAGTATGCAGCGTTAGTCCTCGGAGAAGGTACATACCAGCTTGACGAAACAAGTCCTTCAGATCTTGCCAGCCAACCGTGTACGGCAACTATATCAATCGTGTCAACGGAAGCTCAGACGGAGCGATTAGGAATAGAGTCATGATGACAGACATTGTTGACGAAGATCTGGCGTCCGCCGCTGGATGGAGGAGGGCCTCCGTAGCCACCACCACCACCACCACCACCAAATCCGCCGCCGCCGCCGCCGCCATAGCCCCCTCGAGGCGGCCCGCTTTCGTAGCCTCCGCGGGCTGCAGGCGGTCCGGTAAAGCGAGGTTCGGCCTCGCGGTCCTAATGTATGGCTTGTCAGTGCCTTATAACGTTAAGAAAGATTCCAGCGGCGGCTGAAGCATCAATGCGTGGAGTATAGACAAGGCTTTTGAAAGCTTACCTCTCGAACGTAAACGAGTCTACCCATAAGGTTCTGATTGCTGAGCGTGTTGACGGCTTGTTGGGCTTGATCCCTTGTAGCGTATTCCACAATCCTACGTCAGGTCAGCGAAGAGGACTTGCAGGTACAGCTGATCAACTTACCCGCATCCCTACATAGCCCGCGGACAAAGTCCCAATCCGTCAATCCAACGTCCATCAACCAAAACAAAACCAGAAAGACCAGCCATCTCTACGCATAGGCGCCCACCTTCGACATTCCATTCGGAAGTAGCAACACATCGGCAAAGAGAACCTCCCCCGCTGCACCCAACCGTCAGCTACCGTCGAGGACTAGCTGGTCAGCCTCCTGGGACGTAGTTATCTTACCTTGCCTCATAAAATCTTTGAGATGATGCCATTTAACGTCGTAAGAGAGGTTTCCCACGTAGACACGACGTTCCTGCTGAGATGATTCTCGAACCGAAGCCATCATCTGCTCCTTTGCTTGCGCACGCTCCTCGAAACTTCTGGTTGGAGGTGCTGCTCCTCCTCCACGACCGTAGCTTGACCCTGAATAGCCACCAGCGCCGCTCGTCATCGGCGAGCGGGAACGGCGGTCGTTTCTGCGGTAGTCGTCGCGGCTTCGAGAACGGCTTCGAGGCGAGTAAGAACGACGACGACGTGGGCTTCGAGATCGACGTCTTGGTGAGCGAGAACGCTCGCGCTATGCAAGGTTAGTTGGGACCTGAATCCACCACACTTTGGGCCACCTCTTTCCAAGGAAATCAAAGTGTAAAATGATAGGTGAACAGTGGTGAATACAACAGTTTTGTCTCGAGTACAAGGGGGCAGAGAAGGGCCAAAGGGTAACTACGGGGTTAGAGGAAGGAATGAAGCAGCGGTGTGGCCGTTCAGAAGCAGCAGTTGCCGGCCCCGGGGCATGCCGAGGATTTTGTCAAGTTGAAAAGCGCCAATCTCCCGCGTGGGAGGGGGGAAAGGGAACGGATGAGAGATGAAGAAGTCGCAGTACTTACAGCATGAGGGCGATATACGTCAGCTGAATCTAAAGTAATAAGAATATAAGCATTGAATTTTCAGTATACTCGAACACGGATTGCAATTGGTAGAGGAGCAAAATTGAGCGTGTCTTAGTTTCAGGAGCAACTAGAGTCGGTCGCAAGGGTAGACTAAGCTAAGGGCAGAAGGGGGAGGAGCAGGAGAGGATAGACGGACCCATGATGATAGCGACAGTCCTTCGATTGCCGAGAGCAACGGTTTCCTCACTTCGCTGTGATTGAGATCGAATTTCTCTCACGAGGCGGTTGGGGAATTGGCAGCTGGAACCAAATTTTGGACCACAGGGATAAAGAAAACAAAAAGGCGTGTGGGCAATTTTCTGCAGCTACTTGCGTCGTGGGGAGCTTCGGACCGCAGAGCGACAAGAAGCCGTCCAGTGAAATGTGTAGAAGGGCCTAATTCGTCTGAAGATGGGACGTTACAAGCAGACGAAGATGGAGGTGTGGGGCTGCAGCGAAAAGACGCCTAGTTTTGCCTTGGTGTGCGGGTGTTGTTGGGCGTTTCCTTCCCGAGCAATTGCGTATATCTATTGGATGGCCGGACTGTCAGCCTCAGAAGGTGTTGCGCGATAAAGGCATGGAGAACAGGTGGGATATTCGAAGAGCGTTCCTTCCTCCTGGAAAAAAGCTTACCTTGACGATCTGAGAGGCTGACGGGGGAGATTGAGGGCTTCGGGCCAAATGCCAGTGCGGGTCACGGGTGAGCTGTGCAGGTACAGGCGACCAATCGTAGGCTTTCGGATCTCGCAAGGTAAGCAAAGATGAGGAATAGGAGGTTTTTTTTTGGTGCTAAAGTAGTTATGAAGTTATGATGGTGCGTGTGGTAGGACGAGGAGAGAATGTAGAGGCGTGAAAAAGACTTCGGTGATAGACTTCAGTCGTCTTTTTTGGTTGTCTCGCGAACTGAAAAGTTGGTAGTCTCCCGCACGCTAACGGCTAAGGCTGCCTTTGATATTTCTAAATTCTCAAGTAAAGTACATGTACTGTGATTACTGTATATACCATCCTACATCCTTGTACCACCGCAATGAATCACTTTTCTTTTTCTTTTTCTTTTTCTTTTTCTTTTCTATTCATTTACAATACTCCATCTTCTCAACAATCTCGGGCCCGAACCCTTCACATCTACTGACTTCGAATACTCCATCAGAAAAAGTTCAAGACTCATGTGCGGGTCCGCTTTTGGGGCCCCGCTTGGCCGCCCCCCCGGGCTTCCGCAACAAAGCTTCCAAAAAACTCACGTTGTCCAGTGAAGGGCAGCAGATCAATCGTTACCAGTCGGATTACTTCGGCTACCGACCGTATTCCCTGTTTTCCTCACCCACGACCGTTGTCACCCTTGTCTGTGCGTGTGGCTTGATACGTGTGTCTTGTGGCTGCATGCACCTCGAACAACTACTGCGAGTGCGCCGAGAGGCTTTTTAACCGCTGATGCAGGCCTGTCAGTAATGGCCGGCTCTCCACTTCCAATGCAGGTCCATCGGACAAAAGTCGACCTTTCAGGAGGCCAGACGTAATGGGCATGCCGGCTCCTTGAAAGGACCAGGCACCTACACACCTTCAGAAGGCTGAAGGGCTGAAGGAATGGGTCAAGACGGCGGTCAACGACCTGCTGGTGATAGTGATGCATTCATGCAGGTCATATCTCCCAGTCACCTTGATTGCGGGCCAAACGCTTGGCACTAGCAATGGATGCTTTCCGCCAATCAGTGGCCCCGAGGACATTGTCGCCATAACGGCGCAAGCAGACAAAAAAAAGCACATGCATTATTATTGAGTTCATGCACCTCGGCCACCCTAGCACTAGGAATCGGATCAAACATGGCTGCAGCGGTACCGTTGCTGCACACGAGATCGTATTCGCTGAATTTGTGCGAGAATTTGACTAGACTAGATAGGATTAGCTTTAGGGTTTACAAAAGGTCTTTGCAGATTCGGGCTGATATCACGAATCCAGGAACTGGACAGAGGTTTGATGAACAATGATTACCACAAGGCCACTGCACGCCGTCTTGAGGTACCCAGCGCATCTTAGATCAAGCCTGGTTTGGCAATGTAGCCGCTCCTACCATTCCTACGAGCACGAAGCTCCTTCACCCTTCAGCCCAACCGAAGACGCCATCCTCTCCGCTGCCCTCGCCCACGTCCCAACCCATGGCTTCACCACCACTGCTCTCACTCATGGCGCACGAGATGCCGGCTACCTCGACATCTCTACCAATCTCTTCCCGACCGGTGCCTTTTCCATCGTGAACTTCCACCTCGTCACCCAGCGTCTCGCCCTCGCCAAACATGCCTCTTCCCTTCAACCCCACGCTGACATCGCCACCAACATCCGAAGCCTGGCGCTCCACCGGTTACACGCCAACAAGCCCATAGCACATCGCTGGCAAGAAGCCCTCGCTCTCCTATCAACCGCCCGCCACATTCCCACTTCGCTCCGAGAACTCGCCCTCCTGTCAGACGAGCTCCTCTTCCTGGCCGGTAGCACTACCGTGACTTCGGCTTGGTATACCGACCGTGCCGCACTCGCTGCGATATACGCTGGTGCGGAGCTGTTCATGACGCAGGACAGGTCGAAAGGGTTTGCAGAGACGGAGGAGTTCTTGACGCGGAGACTGGAGGAGGGTGAGAAGGTACGCGGCGGGCTCGATATGGTCGGAAAGTGGGTGGGCATGCAGGCGGGAGGGTTGGTGGATGGGTTGAGGAGCAAAGGTGTCTGGATATAGGAGTGGGAAAGACGCAATCGGCTGGAGTTGGCCGTGGATTTTGGGCTATGCTGTACAAATAGCCTCTGCAGCAACGGGTATTGTACAGAGGGAGATTGTTAGGGCTCAGTACTCGAATTCGATTATGCTGGCTGTAAAAATTGCATGCCGCCAACATGCCTTGTCGCTCTCCGGCTCTCATTCTTCACTCTCCGCTTCATCAACCATTACAGCTTCTCTTTCAGCCATCTCGCTCAGAATCCTCGCAAAGAGGTTGCGCACCCTCCTCCACCCTTCCACAGTCGCTCTCATAGCCCACCACTCCTTCACCACCGGTCCAAAAAATCCCCGCTGTCCCATCCGTCTCTGCTTGGCTATCCCCTTAATCAAAGCGGTTGTCACCCCGTTGCTCTCGATGCCCTGATTGAGCATCTCCTCTATCATGTCGGCCATTCCATGCAGGTCAGAGTATTGCATCCACTTATGATAGAGTATTTCATTGTAAATGTCAGTGGACACACCGAGGACGGTTGAGATGGGTCCGCGCCGTTTGATCGTAGAGAGTACGTGTGGCGCGTAGAAGGATGTGGGATGCTTTCTGCGCATGAGCCGGAGAGCGTTAAGGCAGTACTCAGCGTAGTTCCTACGGAGGATCGAGAGGAGGTTATCGATCGGAATTGCTTTTGTGTGGGTTAACTTGGTGCTTGAAATCTCTGTTTCGGTGAGATCTCTCTTCGTAAGCTTGACGTCTGTGATGGCTTTCCCCTCTGCTTCTGCTTTGCGGACCTTCGCTGCATGCAAGGCCTTCACTTTCTTCGCCTTCTCCACGAGTTTGGTGTGCTCATCCAGATGCGTGATTAGACTGAAGACCTCCTTTTCAAGGACTTGCCAAATCTCCACATCACTATTTGCGCTGTCAAGCATACCCATCACCAGGGTTCTGTGATCGTCACAGGCTACTTCAAGCTTCGCCCGCTCCTCTTCAGTCTCGACCTCGTTCCCCAGCGTAGTGCCATTGGCTAATTTCAGGCGTTTCCAATCTCTCCCACTGAGCGCTTGATCTTGGTCACGAGCCAGGATGTCGATTGCTCGCTGTCTCGGCATACCGGCGAGAAGAAGACTTTTGGCGGCACTGTTCGCAGCCTGTTCTTCTTGCATTCGCAGCTGCCTGATTGCATTTTCGAAGATGCTATTCAGATCCACGTTAGGGTCGTATCCCCTGGTTTGCTCGTCTTGGTCTAGAATGTCTTCTTCATCTGGCTCCGGGGTCGCGGGCTGTGAGGCGTCCTTCATAAGTTTATCGAAGACTGCTTGTTCGGTTGCTGTCACGGTTGAAGGCCGCGAAAATTGATCTGGCTTTTGAGGCTCGGTATGTGAGAGAGTATCGGGGATTTGGCTGTGATGGGGATCAACAAAGACAATCGGGTCGGTATTGGGGCGCCGGATTTTGTCAGCATAGGCCTGCCCCCGAGATGTGAAACAAAAGGTGCGCCTGCGTCTATCGTTGTTGTTGACTGCGTGAAATGGTCTTGCTGACTTGGGCTCCGAGAGGAGTGTTCGAGTCTGATAGAGAAAAGGAAGCAGGGAGCTTGATTGGACACGAATGTGAACAGGGAATGAAGAAATCAGATGGCTGCTCAATGACATTCTGCTCAATGGCAATTTCCTCATCTGCTGAACAGGCTTTGGTGCTGGAGACAGTACTGTAGTCAATAGCTACACCTTGGCCGCACATTTTTGCTAGGGCTGAAGTAGACTAGACTAGCGCGTCGCGAATCTGCGTAATTGATCGCGATTCCGCCACGCGCTCAGAA